TCCTTTCAAATTAAATTCACACATGGTCCAGTCATAAAGGTTTTGAGTTATTTTAACGAGACGCAGCTCCTTACAGAGCTTCACAGGCTTTTTTTCTGCGACTACGCAGCCAATGAAATCTTGCCGACTAATGACCTTTCTGGTCGACTAACATTTGGTCAACTTTGAGGGGGCAGCCCTACACTGTACTGAGTGTATATTATCAAACAATGATACTACATAAAGGAAATGTTAAACTCAAGAAAGAGGTTCTCATGACTGACCTTCCCCCCTCCGATGCCCATGCCACAGTTGTTGAGCCGTAGCTCCTGCAGTGTGTAGCAGGCGGTGCTCTTGAGCAGCTTCTCGATGCCTTTCACCCCATCTGGTCCAAAGGCATTGTCACTGAGGTCTAAAACAGTCAGCCTGGCGCCCGCCAGCATCAGAGCGTCACCCAGTGAATTCTACAACACATGGAGGGAAACAGATAAAATCAAAGGCAGGATAAGTACAGGAGTGTACCAAAGACAAAGACAATATAGTTACAACTATGTCATCATTCAGAAGTAGAGCAGGACATGGAAAGAGGGCAACATTTCAACAAGTAAGCTCTAAGAAGAAAGAAGTGCCTTACCAGGGCAGGTGGGATTTCAGAGCGCAGACGACCTGTGAACATGTCACTCCAGTAACAGCGCTGAAAGAGACAAAGAAGATACACAGTGTCAGACACAAAACAATCTTGAATAAACTCTATTGGAGCAACAAGGCAAAATCATGTTTCTATGTACTGTACCAGAGCAGCAGAGATAGTTAGATTGAAAGTAACTTAACTGGCAACTATTCTGATAATCAAATAAACATTTAAGTCATTTTTTAAAGTGAAAAAGTCAAACATTTGCTGGTTTCATGCTTCTTAAGTGTGAGAATTTGATGCTTTTCTTTGTCATACATGATAATAAACTGAACAGTTTGGGCTTTTTAGACGTTGGATAAAACATACTTTTTAAAGATTTCACTTCGGGCTCTGGGAAATAACACAGGGAATTTTTCACTATTTTCTGACACTAATAATAAAACAACTAATCGAGAGGGTAATTGGCAGATAAATCGATAATGAAAATAAGTGTTAGATGCATCTCTATACGGTACAGCATTATTTTATCATTAGAAATAAAACAAAAAACAACAAGACATAAGATCAAAAGGAAAATAATCTGTCAATATTTTTAATATTTAACTCAAATGTCCAAGCAAAAATGCCAAATGTCCTTGTTTCAGGGTTTTTGTTTTTTTTTTTCTTTAAAAAAAAGTAAAAATGCCAAACAGTTCCTAGTTGCAGTGTGACGAAGGTGATGAGGGCAAGATTCATAATGAGAATGATGAAAAAGGTCGAGAGTAAACACTCCAAACCTTGAACTTGCTCTTTGTCTCCAGGGCCTTGGCGATGGCCTGTGCTGCCTCCACACCCACAGTGTTTCCCTCCAACCTCAGAGCCTGCAAGTCCTCAAAGTCCTGGATTTCCTTAACCATCTCTGCCACTGCAGAGGGGCAACAGGTTAAGAAAGAGGGATGGGAGTGTTGGGATGTTTATAATGACAAATCGTTACAACCCAGACTTAAGTGTGTTAAAGTGATCAAGCCTCGCTGGCTTATAGTAAGGGTTTCTGGGACACTGACATCTGACACTCACCTGATTTGGCATCGTCCAGCTTTCTCCCCTGGCCTTTGTAGCTCAGCTCTCCGTCCTCTACTCCAGTCTTGGCCAGAGAGTCGGCCAACTGCGCAACAATGTCTGTCGCCATCGAGACACCTGAGGGACAAACACACGATTCACTTTTAATCTGCAATCTGTCATAAGGCTGCTGGAGTATCAGTTCGTTACTGGCTGTGTTAATCTTATGCTCAGTCCAATTTTATAGATATATTTATCTTCAATTTGCAATTTATATCATCCATAGTATCCATCCTCATTATTCTTGCACAGTTTTTATTTTTTAAATACCTTACATTTGCAGTACCTACACAGCTAATTAGGGATGAGACTAACAATTATTTTCATTGTCGATGATTTCCTTGATTAATCTTTGGACTTTAAAATGTCAGAAAGGGATGAAAAATGTCGATCAGTGTTGCTGAAAGCCCCAGATGATATCCTGGAATGTCTTGTTTTACCCACAACCCAAAGATATTCAGTTTATGGTGATAGAGGAGTAAAGAAACCACAAAATATTCACATGTAAATACTCAAAACAATCAACTTATCAATTAGTCATTGCAGCTCTACTGTTAAACACCTTACATTTGCACCACCTCCTTTAGCTCATACTCTTTTATAGTAACAGCTTTCTGTAGAAGTTCAGTTGGCTAGACTGTCCTTTCATTGTTGTGTTTTTGTTCTTGTGTTTCTAGTCTTTGTTACTGTGTGTACCTGTGTTTTGTATGTGTCATATTAGCTACTGGATGTCTATATTCCCCTCAGAACCAACCAAACAACCAGCCGTCCATGCATCCATCCATGGAGTTCAGTAACAGAGTTGGTTTCCTCTCTGCCCCACAGGCTGCACTAATTACCAAATAAGCACCAGAACACTGACCACCTAATAGAAGTTATTTAAACTCCAAAATTGCGTGTGGACATTTTGGCTTTAACTACCTTGTTTATTCCTGGAAAGCTGGGCCGACCTCTCCACTGAACAAAAACTGCTGAAAAAGCTGTTTTCACTGAGGGGAAATCCACCCTAAAATAATATTTACATCTGCTTCACGATATTACACTGCAGATCAGATTCAATGTATACACTTGTAGTTGTCTCTTTGTACGCTTAACAGCACACAGACAGAAATATTACATCTACAGTTATCTTAGATTAGGGACAAATCCCAGAGTTCCTGTGTATACACTAAACTAACAGCTTCTATTTTTTGGTAAAGTCAACAACATTAGATGGGATTTTGATGAAGGTAGTGACAAATTGAATTAAAATTCCTGAGTATAGGTTTTCACACTCTTTTAATACAGTTTACAACAGTCGGGTTTTGCACAATCAGACTTCTGGGGCTACACTCATCACAACTGAATGTTCTTTTGGGGTGGATTTTCCACGGTAAGCAACCGGCGGCTAGCATTAGCCGAGTGCTAACGACATGCTAACATCAAAACGGTTTACTGACAGTGGAGCTGCTATGACCGTTATTAACAACCGTCGATTCAGTAACATGTCACTTGCCTGCTGGACACTTAAAATACGTCGTCCTTTGGTTATAGGACTACAAAACGGAACATTTAGTAAGCTAGCTAGCCCAGGTTTGTAGGACAAGAGCGTGGCTTTGACACGGCCTCTCCGGGCGGCCATCTGAAAACCGTTAACTCGACCCCTCCGGTCCCCGGTTTATGTTCGTTATTGCATAAACTCCAACTCATAACTTAGTCTACTGTCAACAGAAATTAATATCTCCATTACCTGAACACCGCTGTGCCGGTTGAATCCAGTCCAGTCACACACTCCCGCTCACTCCTGGCGTTTAAAACCAAATTCAGCACACTACACTACTTGACGGCCGCACATCTGGGAGACAAGGGAGTTGTAGTCCAATTGGACTACAACGGTCCTGGGTGCGTTCATGGTCACTACCACGTCCAGTCTGTGGGAAATACTGTCTGAAATGTTTGAGCTCTAAAGTTAAATAAGTGAGTTAAAGATACAATATATTTAATCAGTTGGATTTTTAAAAATACCATCAACGTTATGGGCAAATATCACATTTATTCATGTAAAAAAACAACAACAACACAATAAATAAATACAAATAAACTTGGTTTAGAAATGAGTATGATATAATATAATATAATATAATCAGTTAAACAATAAAACAATAAAACTGTTATGGCAATATCAGGCTATGTCTCTGTTTTTATTTATGTATTTATAGGCATCCCTTGTTGTTTCTACTATTTTGTTGAATGCGGGTCTAAATATGTAAACGATTTATTTTACAAAAAAAATATTTTAGTTCATTAGTCAGTTTCAAGTGGAAACTTGATGTACTGATCCCTCAATGTAAAAAGTTTAATCAATCATTTAAATAAAAGAATATGAAACCTTACTATAAATATGATAATAAACAATTATACAAAAATTAATTTTAGGTCATTAGTCGGTTTCAGGTGGAAACTAGATGTACTGACTCCCTGAATGTAAAAAAAAAAAAAAAAGTTTACTCAATCATTTAAATGAAATAAAAATAAAAAATAAAAACTTAGTATGAATATAATAATAAACAATTATACAAAATAAATTTTTGGTCATTAGTCAGTTTCAGGTTGAAACGTGATTTACTGATTTAATTTATCAGGTAAATAAAATAGAAAATAGAAAATAACTGTAAATATAATGATAATTAATTAGAAGAAATTATACAAAAATTAATTTTAGTTCATTAGTCAATTTCAAGTGGAAACTTGATTTAGTGACTCTTAGATGTAAAAAAAAATGTAAATATAATGATAAAAAATTAGAGGAAAATACACAAAAAATAATTTTGCGTCAGTCAGTTTCAGGTGGAAACTGGATTTACTTGACCCCTTGATTGTAACATAAAAAAAAGTGTATTTAATTTAGTAAATAAAATCAAAAATATAAACTTACTATGACAAACAATTCAAAATAAATTATTTAAAAAATAATAATGAATAAGTACATAAATAAATCTATGTACTTATTTATTAATATCTTTTTGTTTACGTTATTGTAGCCTCTTTAACTAACCACGGTGGATATTTAGCCCCGAGTACAATCTGTCAGGAACCACTTGGGTCATCGTGTTGATATTGAGGATTACACGGTTATTGTTCCTAAAATAACTTGTGTCGTAATGTCAAATAAAGAACTAAAATAAACTGTGTGTGAATTCATCGCAGAATAAAAACAGTGTGTGTGGAAGTTATGGTGTGTATGCAGGAAGTGGTGCCTGACAGAATGTACTGAGGGTTGAAACACATGTGTTAATTAAAGGGCCAGTGTGGAGGTTTGTGGGTGGCTCATGGGTGGACTGGGGCTGCTGGGAATCGAAACTTAGCTGAGGTATGTAAAGTCAGTCACGGAGCCTCGGCGGGACTCTTCCTCGTCGGTTTGCAGTGTCTCGACATCTCATCTGGCGAAAGTTTCTCCGTCTTTCCTCCTCGGATATTAAACTTTGCCTCGGTTCAATGAACTTCCTCACTTCATACGGTAGGTGTGTCTGAAGTTGGCCCACTCGCGCCATGATAGCCAGGGAAACAAAAGGGCTGAGGGGCTTGTATGCTGGATATTAGTACTTATATCTAATGCTAAATGAATGTGACAGGCTCGGTGGGTGTCTGTGCAGGATGTGACAGAAGTGGTCAATTCTTGCTTTGTGCTCATGGAGGAATGGGGGGGCACCAGCTACATTTCAACACTAACAACATCTATCCACTTGTGGTGTGTTTGTCCTCTCCCCAGGGAACAAGCATGGACCCTGTCAGACAGAAACGCAAGGAAGAGATAAGCAGATCTCTGATGTTTATACAGTGAGATGTGTTTTTATTTAATTTAAATGCAGCCTGATTGAAAGTGAAACCTGCTCTGTCCCTGAATGACTCATATCCTTGATACTTAAAACTGTGTCACTACTTTTCTGATCAAGTTTGCATCTTGTGTTGTAGATCTTCCTTGGCTTATCCAGAGCCAGAGGGCTACAAGGTACCAAACACAATGTCATGTCTGTCTCCACTGTCTCTTCACTCCTGTCCTGTGAGTTTTATGTGTCATCATGTTCAATCACTCAGTCATAAGTTGCTCCTGAGCTTTCTGTTGTGTTTCTCCTAAAACGCCTCTGTCTTTGTTTTCATTCCTGGCTGCATGTTAAATCAAGGACTTCTTCCCATTCTCCTCTTGGAGGCCGCGTTGGGTTTCAGATTCCTTTCAAAGCTGTCGTAATACTCAGAGTAATCACTTTTGAAAGAGCTGCTGGTTGCTGTAACCATTCTTCCTGTCAATACCACAATGAAACTACTGCATAGATTCCTATGAAACTGTGCGTATTCATTGTCCCCCAGAGGACAAATCCTACTAACTTGTCCTGTAGTCCTGACAGAAGGTTTATGTACTTGTATTTTAGTAATAATGATAATGCATTTTTTTTATAGTTGCCTTTCAGGGCACTCAAGGACACCTTACAAGACACAGTGAAAAAAACAGCCATGTATCCATAGATGATAAAGTCAAACAATTCCATAATACACAGTAAAAGCTGATGAAACGACCACACAAAAAGTATAACTATAAATATTAGGTATAAAATCATCAGTGCAGGTGTCAATATGTGTGTCAGCATTATATGCCAGCTTGAAACACTGTGTTTTCAGACAGGATGTGAAAGTGGCATCATGCAGTTACAACAAGCCCTACTGGGTATTGTGCACAAACTGTGTCATCTCATGATCAAACACAGACTCAACACTGGACATCAACGCGTATATTACGCAGCAAGCATCACTGTATCTGTACATGACAAAAAATACCGAAGAAAATATTCATATGTATAGTTTATGTAGAATAAGCATGTCATTTATTATAGATGCTGCTGACTATGATACAAAAAACATGTCTTAATTTCAGTGTTACAACAATAAGGACTTAAAAGCCATTAAATAGTCTTAAATTTGAATCTGTGAGGTCTTAACTACTACATATATTTTTTAATTTAATGTTTATTTGATTTGATCGAAATTTTAAATTTCTTTTTCTGAAAGTAAGTGAAGCTTTTCTATGTAAAAGTCCACATTTCTTTTTTTTTTTATTTGCATTTTTTAGGATTATTTCACATATGTAGAGACCGAAAAAGATAAGGTGAAAGGGAAAAAATAAAATACATAAATACATGCATAAAACATAGCAATATCAGGAAATAAGCGTCAATAATATAATGATAATAAATCAAGAAATTTAAAGAACGGTTACAACCTAAGACCATATTACCCGGTTTATCTTTATTTTTATATCTATTTTCATTTATGTAGCCTACTTATGAAGACCATGAAGCCTTTTTGTGTTTGCACTGTGTAGCATTGTTATTTAATTGTCTGATTTATACGCATTAATAAAGAACATTTCCTTTAAACTTTAAAAAGCCCTAAAGAAAATAATAATTCACAGCCTTTTGTTTTCTAAAGGTGTTGTTTTACTTTATTGTGGTTTAATAAGTTTGTAAAACAGATGTAATGACACGTTTTTAAAGCCCTGACGCAGACCTGCAGTGCTCGAAACATGTCAGCTCTTTGAATGATTTAGCCGCTACAATAAAGGCTTCTTAATACTTCCTTCCTCGTTTTCTGTATTTTTAAAGTACCTGGATTGCCTTCCTGTGATCCCTGTTATTTCCTGTTCTCCATGAGCACCTGACACAAGATTCTGATCTACGTTTGATTGTACAGAGCAACAAGTTGTCTCTTTGTTTCTGAAAAATATTTATATTAATTTGTGATATCAGACGAAATCAGCATGGTGCCTGATTCTGATATTTCATTTTAAAGCCAACATCGACCGATGCCACTGACGTTCCGATATTATCCTTCATCCCTAATGTAACATATTGTCTTTGCGAGCGCGTTAGCATTCTGACATTAGCGTTAAGCTCAAAGCAGCACAGTGCCAAAGTACAACCTCACAGAGCGGCTAGCATGGCAGCAGACTCTGCTGAAGCTTCATATTATTTCTTATATTGCAGTTATGATACAAAGGGAGCACCTCAGGGCCAGTGTGAACAGTGTGAATGTTTACAGCAACCAGTAAAGTAGACGTGATGGTATTTTAAAAGCCATTGTGCTAACTGTCCATGTGCATGTGTAATGTGATCCAAGAGTAAAATAATAAAATTGACAGTGTTGGGCTGCACAGGGTGGATATATAAACAGAATAAAAGCTTAACTGTGGGGTGTGACTGATCCAGTTTTTGGGACAAACAACCACCAGCATCTTATTTTCCTCTTTCTATTTCCTCTCAGGACTTCCTGACCCGGTTAGTGTGCAACCTGCTTGAAGAGGGCAACGCTTTATTCAAAGACAGTGAGTGGGAGCAGGCGGTGAGGGAGTTCAGTGAAGGCTTGAACGTCTCCTGCTACGCTGCAGCCGAGGAGATCCAGATCCCTGAAGCTCTGCTGGAGAGCCTGTATGTCAACCGGGCTGCTGCCTACCACAGCATGGTGAGACACAGATTGTTTCAGTGCAGCTCAGACAGACACTTGTGGAGATGTAGACAGCTGTTTGACAGAATGTGTACAGCTGTGACTATGTACTGAGGGCTCGTGACAAACGCTCCTCCGCACCCAAACCTGATCTGTGTGTGAGTCAGTCAGTTAAGGAGCCAGATAAAAGTGGATCGACCCATTATAATGACAGCTTAGAGGCATTTTTCAACCTACCCCAACTTGTAATCTTTGATACCCATTATTACAAGGCTTTGTTTGTTGCTATGGCTGCAGCTCTGATTATAGACGCCTAGCAGAAGCAGTAAATAATTTTTAAATTAATATGTGTATTGATTTCTTCAGCATGTAGCAGTGTAATAAACAGGATAATGTACATCGAGCAGATCGTTATTGAGAAATAATCCCTGACAGGGTGATGCAAAACCCTGAAGTGAAGCAGGGGGGTCTTGATACATCCTGATGGTGTTCATTTCACCAGCATGGCCGTCCTGTAGACTCAAGGGGGATTTATACTTGTGCAGCAGACCCTATGCCGTAGCCTACGCCGTTGTAGTGTGTCTGTGTCACTCTGCAGTTACACCTCCAAAACACTAGTCAGCATTGGGGTTTCTGTGAAGTGCTGTCAAGTTTAGTTGATTCAAAACACACTTTAAACATGGCTTAATAGAGAATGTTTTTAGCACAAGCCTATGGTATTTTACATTGTATAAATTAGCCTAGCATCTAGCGATCTTTTCCTCTTCTCATACAGTACAGGCCAAAAGTTTGGACACACCTTCTCATTCAATGCATTTTCTTTATTTTCATGACTACTTACATTGTAGATTCTCACTGAAGGCATCAAAACTATGAATGAACACATGTGGAGTTATGTACTTAACAAAAAAAAGGTGAAATAACTGAAAACATGTTTTATATTCTAGTTTCTTCAAAATAGCCACCCTTTGCTCTGATTACTGCTTTGCACACTCTTGGCATTCTCTCGATGAGCTTCAAGAGGTAGTCACCTGAAATGGTTTTCCAACAGTCTTGAAGGAGTTCCCAGAGGTGTTTAGCACTTGTTGGCCCCTTTGCCTTCACTCTGCGGTCCAGCTCACCCCAAACCATCTCGATTGGGTTCAGGTCCGGTGACTGTGGAGGCCAGGTCATCTGCCGCAGCACTCCATCACTCTCCTTCTTGGTCAAATAGCCCTTACACAGCCTGGAGGTGTGTTTGGGGTCATTGTCCTGTTGAAAAATAAATGATCGTCCAACTAAACGCAAACCGGATGGGATGGCATGTCGCTGCAGGATGCTGTGGTAGCCATGCTGGTTCAGTGTGCCTTCAATTTTGAATAAATCCCCAGCAGTGTCACCAGCAAAACACCCCCACACCATCACACCTCCTCCTCCATGCTTCACAGTGGGAACCAGGCATGTGGAATCCATCCGTTCACCTTTTCTGCATCTCACAAAGACACGGCGGTTGGAACCAAAGATCTCAAATTTGGACTCATCAGACCAAAGCACAGATTTCCACTGGTCTAATGTCCATTCCTTGTGTTTCTTGCCCTAAACAAATCTCTTCTGCTTGTTGCCTCTCCTTAGCAGTGGTTTCCTAGCAGCTATTTGACCATGAAGGCCTGATTGGCGCAGTCTCCTCTTAACAGTTGTTCTAGAGATGGGTCTGCTGCTAGAACTCTGTGTGGCATTCATCTGGTCTCTGATCTGAGCTGCTGTTAACTTGCTATTTCTGAGGCTGGTGACTCGGATGAACTTATCCTCAGATGCAGAGGTGACTCTTGGTCTTCCTTTCCTGGGTCGGTCCTCATGTGTGCCAGTTTCGTTGTAGCGCTTGATGGTTTTTGCGACTCCACTTGGGGACACATTTAAAGTTTTTGCAATTTTCCGGACTGACTGACCTTCATTTCTTAAAGTAATGATGGCCACTCGTTTTTCTTTAGTTAGCTGATTGGTTCTTGCCATAATATGAATTTTAACAGTTGTCCAATAGGGCTGTCGGCTGTGTATTAGAGGCCGTCTACACGTACACGGTGTACGGAGACATCTTCCTTCGTTTGTGCCCTTCGTTTACACGCAAACGGAGATTTCTCCTCTGAAAACGAGTCTTTCTAAAAACTCCGGCCAGAGTGGAGATTTTGGAAAACTCCGGTTGCGCGTTTGCATGTAAACTGAGATAAACGCAGATAAACGGAGTTATAGGCAGCCCACGTCACAGTATGCGCCGGAACTTGCGCCTGTGTAAAAAGTGCGACCTATGTTGCTATGGTGACAATGGATACATGGAAGGCTTTAGCTTCTCGTTACACTGCCACCTACAGGTTTGGCATGCTCTTGTGTATATATACACGGGTAAGTGTAAACGAAGATCTTTTTGAAAACGGAGACGATGAAATGTCCGTTTATGAAAATAGCCGGCAACGTGTAAACGGCCTCTTAACCTGACTTCTGCACAACACAACTGATGGTCCCAACTCCATTGATAAAGCAAGAAATTTCACTAATTAACCCTGATAAGGCACACCTGTGAAGTGGAAACCATTTCAGGTGACTGACTACCTCTTGAAGCTCATGGAGAGAATGCCAAGAGTGTGCAAAGCAGTAATCAGAGCAAAGGGTGGCTATTTTGAAGAAACTAGAATATAAAACATGTTTTCAGTTATTTCACCTTTTTTTGTTAAGTACATAACTCCACATGTGTTCATTCATAGTTTTGATGCCTTCAGTGAGAATCTACAATGTAAATAGTCATGAAAATAAAGAAAATGCATTGAATGAGAAGGTGTGTCCAAACTTTTGGCCTGTACTGTATAAAACTAGGGACAATAGCAACGTTTACCAAAGCTAAATTCAGCTCCATTACCACTCACAAGGTTCACTGACAAAACAACTGTCTTATACTAAACACGTTTTCCAAACAAATATAACATGCTAACCTTATTAGCACAAGCCTATGGCATTTTACACTGTATAGCTTAGCCGAGCGACGATTTCCTCTGGTCATATGAAGCCAGGATAAATCACACACAAGACTTAAAGTGCTATTTTTGTGGAGGCTGTTATTCTTCACGATTTATTGTTTCTCATCTGTGAAATTAAAGTAAATAAAGGGAAATGGTTTCAGCTTACAAAACTGGACAGGAGGTCACCATGACATGTAGGTACATTTCTGGGGAGGTGCACGTAAACTATTTTATGCTGTGGTGAGGGAAAGTCCATAAATAATGCAGCGCGGGGGATTTCACCACAGACACCAAGGCAGTACACGAATGCTTTGGGAGCGGGGGAGACACTTCATCAACATGATAAGAGTCACAGGGAGGTTTTAGCCTGAGTTCAAGGGGAGGCCAAGGCGAACCTGGGAGGACCAGGACTAAATCTCAGGCCCAGTCCTCGCAGACACAGGGGAGTTGAAAATGGAGTGTTTTCTGTGTTATTTAAACTGTAGTTTAGGTCACAGAAAATGGTTCTCTTGTAAATGTCCCTCCAGGGTGAAAATATTCTGAAACTCCTTTGACACCTTCATCTTATTTCTCTTCTTCCTTTCTCCTTATCATCTTCCCCTTCCTTCCTCTTCTTCTTCTTCTTTGAAACTCCTTTTATGCCTTCTTCATCTTCTTCTTCCTTTCCAATCTTTTTGCTTCTACTTCCCTCCTCTTCATCATCTGCCTCTTTCCTCTTCTTCTTCATCTTCCATCCTCTTCTTCTTTTTCTTCTTCTTTCCTCCTCTTCCTCCTCTTCTTCTTTCCTCCTCTTCTTCTTTTTCTTCTTCATCCATCCTCATCTTCTTCCATCCATCCTTCCTTTCTTCTTCATTCCTTATTTGTCTTTCTTCTTCTTTCCTTCTTTTCTTCTTCTACCATCCTTCCTCTTCTTCTTTGTCTTCTTCCTTATTCCTTTCCTCCTTCCTTCTTCTTCCTTTCTTGCCTTCTTCTTCTTCCTTTCTTCCTTATTTTTCTTCTTATTCTTCCTTTCTCTTTTCCTTCCTCCATCCTTTTCCAATATTCCTCTTCTTCTTTTCTTCCTCTTCCTCCTTCCTTATTCATTTCCTTCCCCCTTCTTCCTCCTCCTTCTTCTTTCCTCTTCATCCTCCTCCTTCGAACAACAAGCTGCTTATAAAAACAAAACTGATCCGACTCTAAATGTTTCAGTTTTGTCCTTTACTTTCATCTCTCATGTCTTCCACAGGGGGAATATAATCGAGGCGTGGAGGACTGCGACAGTGCTCTGAAAGTGTTTAAGGAGAGCCGCAGGGCCCTGTACAGGAAGGCACTCTGTCTGAAGGAGCTGGGGAAGTACAAGGAGGCCTACAACTGCACCACAGACTATCTGCTCATCACTCGGCTGGTAAAGGAAAGGGAGGATGAAAATGAAAACTTTAGATTGACCCTGTGAATGGTGATGGCTGGCCCTTAAAGTGAAATGCTTCTTTGTACCAGAGTAAACAGATGCAATATCATAGTGTAATTTAGGTGAACAAAATGATATGAGCGTAAATATTTGGCCTCAGAAATATCACTCTGACAAAAATAAGTAATCACAAAGTCCACTTATTTGGATTTTTTAGCACGGGAGCAGCATGGTTTTAGGTAAAGAAATGTTTGTTAGTTGTTCCACCACTTGTATCAACAACCATTGGATGGATTACAATGAAATCTTGTACAAATATTATTTTTTCTGGAAGGATGAATCCCCATGAATTTGGTTGTCTCCTAAATTTATTTGAGGATCACCAGCAGGTCAACAGTTGCAGTTTTTCAAACACTTATTTATGTCCAAGTGCACACAAAACTAGTGACATCGCCTTCGACCTTGGATTATTAACTTTTACTTGTTTAATTAGCAAATGTTACCATGGTAACGTGCTAAACAGTGATGGTGAACATTCTAAGCATTGAACCATTTTACTGTGATTACCGTGTAAACATCAGCATGTTAGCAATGACACTGTGAGCGTGGTAGCATGCCAGTGTTAGCATTTAGCTTAAGGCACTGTGGCATACCATTACCATGGCATGTAGCACAGGGCTGCAGCCTGGAAACAGACCCACAGCTGCTGAGGCAAAGACGGTGTCTTTGTACATGGGATGCACGCTCCAACCACAGAACCACTGGGCCAGGCCTCTCCTTTGAAGATTCAGTTAACCCTAGATTACACCGGGTGCACTTGTAATGTGTTCTGATTGCGGCTGCTCTAGACAACGTTGTAAATCCATCAGACATTTCAGAAGCCTCTCTCTGCTCCGCCAGTGACACAAATTATTTTTCTTGTTTTGTTTTAAGAGATTAAACAGTGTTTATAAGCATGAATTTGTCATTTGTCTGGTTCTGGACATGCAACATTTCACATTTCCTTATGTAACTGTTTCAGACTTGTTGCTGGTGCACTGGATTGATTTATTCTTTTTCTGTTGACAGGACAAACAGGTGAACGAGCTCGCACAGGAGCTGGCCGTCCATCTGGGACTGAAAAATCGGAAACCCTATGTTGGAGCAAAGGTTAGTAAAGTGACGACCAGTTAGATTTTGTTCTCTGCGGAAAATAAATGAATAATGTTTCTCAATCAGTTCTCAGTTTCTCAGTCTTCAGCTTTGTCATAGTCAGATAGGAGGCTGTCTAGAGTTGGGCAAGGATAAAATCTTGTAATTTCATATTGTGATAATGATACATAAATCATGACTTAGTGTCCTTGTAGTAAAAAGGATTTAAGTGTGAATTAAATACCTTAAAAAGCACAATGGTGTTACAATTAAATATGTAAAGGGGATAATAGAGTCCAGAGATAATAAAGAAATGCCTACGACTGTAGATATGGTCAAGAAAAATCAGCATATATTGTCTTATTGCCTAACTCCAGTGCAGACATGGTGCAGATTTGTCCTGACTTGATCCTCACTTTGCTGTGTCTCTCATATCTGGTCTGTTTTTGTCTTTCCCAGGAAGGTGCACTTATCATGAGAGGCGCTGCAAATGGAAACATGACTACTGAAGCCATCAAGGCAACTTTCTATTATCTTAAACATTTCACCACCATACATTAGAAAAAAATGTGAAAAATAAAACAAATTTCCAAATTCCAATATTTCTATTTCCCAAATGAGAAAACAGCTAATGTTTTTTTGTTAAGCATTTAATCAGTTTCTCTTATTTTCACATGCTTATTATATTTTTTTTATTTGTGCTTGATTATGTTGTTTTTTTACTTCTCACTTCCAGGTGTCTGCTGCTCATGTAGGAAACGGTATGAATCCTCTGAGTGGCCTCGCACCAGGTGTGAACTCTTGAATCCTTTATCAAAATTATGTTGCATCAACAACAGGCAGCATGCAGTGTATGGTCTTAATAAATTCCATCCTGTTTCTCTTCAGTCCGTTTTCCCAGCATGTCTCCGTCCCCCAGTCCCTCCCCAACTCCTGCCGTCTCCTCGGTGGTGCTCGACACGGTGGACACGTTGGAGGACTGCGAACTGATGGGAGATGACTTGGACAGCCTGCTGGACTGCTTCCCCAATGAGCAGGAGGTGAAATATGTGTTTGTGCTGTGTTTGTCCTTGTGGAGTAGTAAACTAACCTTTGTCAGTGATAATGGAGTGAAGGAATCCTTGATTGTGGAGGACTGCTTCACTGGGAGAGCATGTGTGATACGCTGATACAGTCCAAGTCTTTAAAAGTGTGGGCATTACACACATGGTATTTTTGAAGGAACAGGTTTAATCATGTTTTAGTTCGTTGACAACACATTGCATACTTTTTCATTCATTCCAGTGCTGTAGAGTTCAACCTGTCAAGTCTGAGTCTTGCTTTGGATACCTAACCATCACAGAAAACAATCTTTCAGCTTTTTATCTCTTACACACTGATGCCGTTGAAGTGTAAATGTGGAGGTCATGAAACAGATAATGGGCAGTTGTTTGCTGTTTTATTGACAAATGTGCCCAGTAGGGAGGAGACATTAGAGATCAGACTCTAAAAACAACAAGAATTAGGTTGTACGTTTTCCTTTCTGGTTATGCGATGCAGGAATTGTTGGGTATGTAATGTTTTTGACAGTATCGCCAGCGTAGCGGAAGGTGAAAGCCAACCCCAGATTCACTCCGCTTGACATTTTGCCTCTCTTTATTTGCATTTTTTTGGTGCTGTGCACACAATTTTTATAGCTTCCTCTTGGATGCATGCTGCTGACAGTCTGGCATCTGGTCACTACTTCTACAAAAACTCTTTTCTGGCTGTAATTCAACGTCATAACTCAGGAACAGAAGGGGAGACATTTGGTCAGATACTGAGTTGGTGACACTAATCTCGGTGTCCACCTTGGAACTGTGCTGATTGTGTGGAGCAGAAGTATCAAACATACGGCCTGTGGGCCCAAACCAGCCCGCTAAAGGGTCCAATCCGGCCCAGTAGATGATTAGACTGATGATTAGAGGTGCCTGATTTCAGGAGCAAGTTAAACAGTGCGTACTTAGGGTTAGGGCTGCCTCAGAGGCTTTTCCACCCTGACCAGGACACAGCTCTCTGATATTACAGTGAATATTTAAACCCTCAGTGTATAAAAATGGTGAATAACAGTGACATCAGCGGTCAAATTCTAGATTGCAGCGCTCACTCACGCTCACTCACTCACCCCTCCCGTCAGGTAAGTGACGGTGGCCTCGTAGGACAAAAAGCCTTGCGCAGACGGCAGAGTTTTTCAGGAGTATCTAGCGACAAGGTGAATATTTATTTAGGAATCTAAACCATGTTACGATATGTTATAACTTACCAGTGAGATATAGGTTATCTGTGAGATATAACGTTATGTTAGGAGTGTTTTATTTCTAATTGTTTTGGTAACATGAGCATTAGCGCAGTAATGCTAAAATAACACGTTTTATGTGATAGTCGCAGCACAGTGCGGCAAATATAGGTTGGTACGATTATAATATATGCGATTCCAGAGTGTTCTTCCACAGGACACAGGGAGATGAGGAAGAGGGAGAGGAGGAAGACCAGGGAGAGGAAGGGGGCGAGAGGGTAGAGGCGGTGCAGGAACGGCCAGGTGAAGAGGTTACGTTAGTGTCTCGGCTACCCAGAGGGAAGAGGAGGAGGAGAGGGTGGCAGCCTTCGCAGCAGTGTGAGAGGAATCAACAGATTTAGCCCTAGGCTAGGCTAACCATTTAGCTGTAGCTCTGGGATAACGTTAGCCAAGGCTAGGATAACGTTAGCACGTATACTTAGCCGTCACTCGAACTTAGACGAGAGGGAAAAGTAGTTGCAAACATGAAGCCAGAATGATTTTAAAATATCAGATTGAATTACCTGTCTAGCAGAAAGCAGGCAACCTCCGCATCCCTTGTGAAATCCTTCTCCTTCAGGAGTTCTTTCCACCTGGAATAAGCAACGCCGATATTCACTCGCGTTTTGTCCCGTCCTCGCTTATCTGATCTTTTTCTTTTATTTGGTGGCGTGGTTTCCCTCTTACGGGGCAAAACATATGTGTGGTCCTCCATTTAAAGTGCGACAGAATCATAAAAGTACAAAGCAGGTTCACGCAGAAGCGCCCCGGATTGATCTTCACCTTAACCGTCTCCAGTGACGGCAGGTTCTAGGTAAACACGAAAGGTGAAGCGCGTGTATCCCTTTCGGCCACTGTATTCAAATATGGCGACACAAGAGGGCAGCTTCTAGCAGATTGTTCCCTGCCTGTGTATATATATAGAAATCATTCTAAGCCTATGAGAAAGCTTCCATTTGTATGTGAATTGCATTACACTTTAGTAAATATATATTTATGAAAGAAATAGTTATTTAATAATAAACAACCACGTAAATTACACATTGTAACTTTAATGTCACCATGTTTAAAGCTATTGAACATTGTGCAAAATATTGTCAATCAGCAGCTTCAGTACAAAAGAATCTGTTTCAGGAAATATATGGATAAATGCACATGTAAGCAGACTGACTGAAATTGGAAAAACTGAGACACAGTGTTGCAATTGCACTTATTTTTAGTACATCTCAGGCTGTTCATCTGTTTTGTAAAAGGATGAACATCTACAGAATGTACTTGTAATTCTTTACACAAAAAAAGGTAAAATATTGGAGCTGATGGTACTTACAGGTCATTTTGAGATGGTTTTATTGGTTCAGATTGGGCTGTATGTGGCTCATGAACTAAAATGACTTTGACATCCCTGGTGTAGATCATCTATGCTGTCAGGTTGAAGATCTGTGTGAAGCATCCATGTTTGAGAATACAATCTTTGCAGCAACATCCATATTTGAAGCATTATTTACTGTGATGGCTACAGATGAGTCTGGACAGACTTCAATGAAAACTGTAAATTGGCTGCCTGATAGAGGCATCTAACCACGAGGCGGCAATTGTAGTTTTATCCAGCTACAGTCAGCCAAAGCCCCCAAAAACTTTGTGTATCATCATTAAATTGAGCAGCCGTGTCACTTTGCTCATAGTTTTTTTTATATTCTGTCCCCTATTGTCATCCATCTTCACGCCACTATACCTCTCCATGTTTTCCAGACCCCCACCAGCAAACACACAGTTACGTCTGTCCTGCCCGCCCCGACACCGCAGCTACCCCCGGCCTTCTTCAGCTCAGCTGTCAGCCCGCTCAACTCCCTGGACTCCTTTCCAGGTGGTGGCTGCAGCACCACATCTGCGACACTGGATACCCTCGACGACCTGTTGACCTCTGGATTTCTAGTTGGTGTGGGCGCTCCGAACTTTACCTCCACGGCGCTGGATGCTCTGGATGGCCTTGATTCCTTGGATGACTTCTCGGATGCGACTCCAAATGCTGCTGCTATCGCTGGGAATGAGTCCAACACAGAATTAGATGCAGGGGAAAAGTCCCTCGATGATTTGCTAGATGAGTTAGATACTATAGAGCCGGTCCCTGATCCAGGTGGTGGTGAAGTCCCTAAAATTATTGTGAAAGCTGTGGACCCGCTCGACTCCCTTGATGTCCTGGACATGTTTCCCTCAGTGAGAGGTGTCAGTACAGCTTTGCCAGCAGTCTCCTTCGGGGTAACAGGCCTGAACTCGCTCTCCAAGTTCAGCTCCACTGGTGATTATGATTTCATGGTGACTTGTTTTAGTATTGGCAAAGCAGGAGGCCTGTTAGAGGTCAAAACAGCTAATAGCAGATCAATCACAGAGTGATTAGAGCACTTAGAAAGTGAAAGTGTGGTGTATTTTCATATAAGATTCAAGCAACTTAAAGGAACAGTGTGTAAGATTTAGTGACGATTTTGTGGCATCTAGTGGTGAGGATTGCAGATTGCAACTGGCTGAAACTTCTCCTGGTTAGAATTCCTTCAGTGTTCAGGATTCTTACCATGAGCTGAGTTTTTCCCAGAGGTCTCTTCCTCTCCAAAACAAACAGACCAGATGATTAAAACCAGGAAAAACACTAAATAAAACAGCTTCACGTGTTTCTCTGACATTGTTTGGCATGTTAGAGACAGGCCGCCAGCCCAGTACCTGCTAAAATGTGCTCACCTTTTTTTCTATGGTAACTCAAGAACCAGATGTTCAGGAGGTTTTTACCAGTAGTCGAAGTATCCACAGAGAGGTCTCTTTCTCTCCGAAAGAAACGGACCCGCTGATTTAATCCAGTAAAAACACTGAATAGTTTCATATTAAAAATCAGACACGTCGTCGTAGAGGGGCTGCTCACTGCGGTGGCCAACACTAAAACGCAAATGGTTCCATCTAGAGTCAGTGTGTGGTTTGTCCATTTTGAGCTACTGTAAAAACATGGCAATCTCTGTGGATGAGGACCCGCTCCCTATGTAGATATAAACGGCTCATTCTTAGGTAACGAAAACACAATGTTATTAATTTTCAGGTGATTATACAGTACATCAAGAAAATTAAACTTCCATCTATCCATTTTCATTCACTTATTTGGGGTCAGGTCACGGGGGCAGCAGGCCCTCCAGACATCACTCTCCCCAGCAACGCTTTCCAGCTCCTCCTAGAGAATCCCAAGGCGTTCCCAAGCCAGATGAGATATGTAATCCCTCCAGTGTGTTCTGGGTCTGCCCCAGGGCTTCCTACCAGTTAGAAGTGCCCGGAACACCTCCAATGGGAGGCGCCCAGGACACAACTTGATTAGATGCCTGATCAGACACTCCTCCAAGCATCGCCTCCTTAACATGGCGGAGGGGTTTGCGGGTCCCTGTGAACCTGGGAGCTGTGTTGTCCGGGGCTAATACCCCCTGGTAGGGTCTCACAAGCCAAAGTAGTCCTAGGGGACGGGCCAGACTCAGAGCAATTCAAGAAGACCTTGATGAAACGGCATATTCGGACTTGGAGGACTTCGCCCAGTATGGGGACACTGTGGAGCCAGACCTGGGGGGGGGGAGTAGATAACATGGAGCCATCACAGCATTCAAGGTTCAGTGCATTGTGTGCCAGGTGGCAGGCAGGGGCTGGACCTCTGGCGTGCTAATCCCTGGCGTCACGGACTGGCTCTGAGGACATGGAACGTCACCTCTCTGGCGGGAAAATTGCACTCATTATATATTATATTCCACCTATACTAATATATTCCCCTAAATCCTACACACTGGACTTTTAAGTGCTCCCTTTTTTAAATATTTAATACCACTCTTTGTTGGTAATAAATGAGCTAAAACATGTCCAAAGCATGTTCGCATTACATGTTTACATAATGTGTAATGTATTTCCTCTCAGGTATCACAGGCTCTCACGCTGCTGCAGCTCCAGTAATACGATCTCCAAAGAATAACTACAAAGTAAGACTGATTATCTGGTGTGTGTTTCCTGCTCTGCTGTTGTGTGTTTTGTTTGAAATTAACTGAAATCTCTTTGTCTTTCTGTGGCAACAAAGGAGAAGAATAACCAAGTACCACCTGCTGGCTCTAATCCATTGTCCTCCACCCATGATTTCCTCCCGGCCTGCTCTGCCTGTTATCCACGTATAGGTACGTCAGCAGTCCAGCTCCGTCTCAAATAACCCTTTAATATTTCCTATTTGGAGCACGTCTTGAAAGGCTCTTGTGGTTTCATCTTCACCCTGAAGTTCTTCTTTTAATGTTGCAGGCAAAGGGGTGTATTCATTTGTTCACAAGCCAGACCTGGTCCACAAGTGTAAGCAGGACATTCTGTTGTGTAGACGAAAAGCAGATCATCCTTCAGAGTGGATCAGAGTGAGAAAGATTCCTACCTGGAGTTCCTTCAAGGGGCCGTTTGTACTTTGCAGAGGTAAAGCTCTCAATGGTTTCAGGATCTCGTGGTGAATCATCTGTTGGCAGCCAGTGTTCGTGCTCGTTGTTATTGGAGTTGAACTGATGTATCATGACAGCATGGTGTGTTTTGTTTGACGTGTGTCTCTATACATTTATATTACGTCTCAGAACTTTACAAAAAGACTGACTTTGATAACTTCAAGGGGTTTAACCCTTGTTTTCCCACTGTGACTTATTTCCTACTCCTCCCATGGTTATGTCTGTGTAGAATAAAAGAATAAAAATAAATTTAAAAACCCCTTTTGTCTAAACTGACCAAAGGATTTCTGACCAGCTCGGCAGCCTTTCTAACTATGTACAACCCCCTGTCAAAAATTTTGGTGTGATATTTGACTCCGCGTTAAGTTTGACAAACTAAAAAAGGCAGTATTAAAGCCATCTTTTTCCAACTCTGCACCATTTCCAAAATCAAGCCATTTCTCTCCCTCAAAGACCTGCAGACAGTCACCCACGCTCTCATCTCCTCCTATTTAGACTACTGTAACTCTCTATCAGTCAGTCCTCTCTGTCCCGTCCTGATGTGTGCCTGTGTGTGCTGTGTCTCTAAATGTGAGCAGTGACAGTAATGTTGCCTCTTATGTGTGTGTGTTTTTAGGATTTTATTCCTTTTGTGCAGCACTTTGGTCAACGTGAGCTGTTTTAAACTTTATAAATGAGTTTGAGTTGAGATGTAACCGAACAGAGAGACAGTTTCTTCACAGACAGCCAGAGACAAAACATACATGAGTGTTTTATGACAGTTGACAAGCTAATTCCTTCAACAGACCTTTGGAATGCAGGGAGAGGAGTTCATGTCTCGGAAGTCACACATTTCTCGTCGTATTTTATGGCCCAAATAGACTGCTGGTCTGACCTCGAGCAGGAAATGAGAGTTAATCATTTGCTGATAGGATGCAAGAAGGAAGAAGGTCCCAGTGGCTCAGTGTGCTCTCTACACATGGTGCTGGGTGTCATCACAGCAGCTGTTATGATATCTGAGTTTTGGCAGTGATGCAGAAACTTTTGTGGACACCTTATTATGTTGAGTAAAGCAACAGGTTTTAGTTATTCTAGCAGCACTGCACTATATAGATGGTAATGTCTGTCCATAGGTCATTGTTTGTCAGTTGGTTCTCCACTTTGATCCTGACTGAAATATCTCGAATACTACAGACATAGGCTGAATCCAAATGTCCAGACTTCACCGCACTTACACACTCCCGGGCTTTGTTCAAGTTCAGTGTCTCTGGTTCCTGCATCAGAATATTACTGCAATATTACTTTTCACATGAGCTTTGTTTTTTCTTTACGTTTCAGAGCTGCTGAAGTCCGGGGATCTGGCCCGGTGTAAGTACGGAGAGGAATGCACATTTGCCTACAACCAGCTAGAGATAGACTTTTGGACAGAAGAGAGGAAGGGGACGCTGGACAGAAACCTGCTGTTTAAAACTGCAAACCTCAAACCAGATCCTGTGAACAGCATCATCCGCCTTCTGCAGGAACACAAGGGCATGTTCCTGTTCCTCTGTCAGGTCAGTGCTATTACACTGTTTATACAATTATTATTATTATTATTATTATTATTATTATTATTATTATTATTATTATTATTATAAAAAACTTTTAAATCTCAAGTCTTGTCTGTTTTACTTAATTTTTTATAATGTGTATTTCTATTTTATAATTTGCTTTTTTTTAAAAAAAAAAAATATTATTCATTAGTTATGGATTTGTTTTTTTATGTCTTGCTGTTTACTTTGTTGTAGTTGTTGTTTTGACCACTGAAATAATAATAATAATAATAAAAAATATTTCATATATAATTATGAAAAATATTTTTAAAAATAATATTTAAAAAAATAAAATTAAAAATTAATATTACAATTTTTAAAATCGATTTAGAAATACATTTTTAAAAATTTGACTTATTCATTAGTAAATAAACACATACATAAATGCAAGAATAAATACAGAAATAAATTAATAAATATTTAATTAATAATTAAAAGAATAAATAAAAGTATTCTCAGTTCAGTTCTAAATCCAGTTATTTATTTCTAGCTTTAAACTACATTTTAAATAGATTTTTAAATTCAACTATGTAATAATGAATTAATTAATGTATTTTTAAATGACATACTTATTTACTGTTGTTTTTTTATATCGTTTATATAGATCCCTTTTGATCTGAACTATTAATTGATTAATTAAGATGTCTGTAAATACGTTTTACAATTACTCTTTTCATTGCTCATTGAAATATCAAATAATGAATTATCTTTTTAATTTAGTCTATTTATTTATAGATCAGTAAATTTATAAACACATTAATTAATGCTTATTCTTATTGTACAATTAATTATAAATTAATTAAATGCTTTATTACAATTTCCACAATGCAGAAAATGTAAGTAATTAAATAAATAATAAATTAATGAATTAATAAATATTAGTTATTAATCAAGGAATACATTAAGTGAATTAATTTAGAAATTTCCTGCAAATATAGTATTATTTCTGTATGTATTTACACTTTAATTTATTAATGTGTATCAACATTTTAATTTCTGTTTTTTTCTATTACTTTTTGTCAGTTTTTGTTTGAGAATCAGATTGTACTGACATCATTAAACTACAAACCACAAACATCTACCAATAAATAGTGGTTGAAATGTAGAAATACAGAATTAAGTATGTTTAGATGTATAGAAATGTGAGCAAGTGTCCCAATTTTTCGAATTGTTTATGTACATGTATATTTAGTTGGTTCATTTATTAAAATAAAAATTAAATTTATTGGTATTCTGTTATTAAGCACAAACTCGAGTCTTAGTCATACAGGCGAACAAGAAGAACCAGTAGCTAGTGTTTGTTCTGTCCATTGTCCCACTGCATTACTGTATTTATGATTTCAGTCTTCATATGTCTGTTTGTCTTTAATGTTTACACAGCATTTTGTTGTGTCAGATTTATGTATCAATATCATGAATCATTTAAGATCATCACCTCTCAGTCTCTAAATGTGTCTTTCTGTGTTTCCGTCTTTCCTCTTTCCTCTTCCTTCTTTTATTTTCGTCCCTGTGTCTCCGTAGGTATGCTATGACAGTAAACCTAGAATCATCAGTAACCGCTCTAAAGACAATCACACCATCTGCTCTAACCTGGACGCTCGCCACAGCTTCGATGCCAATAAGTGAGCATGTTTACAACATAAGTGTCACTTCGAGTCCTCATCCTCTGATCATCATCATCATAGCTCTCTTCTCCTTATGTCTTTCACTCTATCTTAAATGCATTCTGATTTGTCCCTCTGTGTCCATCAGGTGCTTGGCCTTTGTGGTGAGGACCCACAGTGTGAACTACAGTAAGGTGCGGCCGCTGAGCGTCAAGCGCCACTTGGATTTGTGCCCCAAAGCCATCCGGTATGGCTGCCAGAGAGAGGACAGCTGCTGTTCTGCCCACTCCCCCATAGAGCTGAAAACATGGAGGGTGCAGCGGGACACAGGTGCAGACTGTCAGACATATGCAGTAGGAATAAGAATACAATCAATAGCCTGTGCTGTTTCTCTTAAAACAAGTGTTGACTTTATTTCTCTATGTGTGTGTGTGTGTGTTTGTTGTTTTCAGGTATCAGCCCAGATGAGATAGTAAAAATATCCATGAAGTATCAAGACAAACAGGATCAAGCAAACTCAAGCAAACAGAAAGGAAATAGAGTAAGAAACCATTTTTTGTTTCATAGTTTTATTGAAACAAGACAATGTCCAGACTTGTCCAGCATACCTTCCATTTGTTCTTACTGTAGTAAATGTAATTAACCTCCATGTTGCAACAGTGACCCCATGGGCCTTTCTCCCTACCCTCCTCTACTCCTCCGTTTCCACATTCACGCTGAGGGAAGTGGAACAAATACATATGGAGAACATAAAATGAGACTAACTCTCGTTTTTCTCCATGGTTACAAAAAGTTATGACAGTCCCTTTTTCCACTGCAGAAAGGGAAGTTGGTCCTGTAGCTGGCTGCTGTATTGATACTCTAAACCAGGAGTACGCACCCTGTGGCTCTGGAGCTGCATACGGCTTGTTAGCCCCTCTTCAGTGGCTCTATGTGGCTTTTACTAAGAATTATATGGAAATGAATAAGTTATTTTTTAACATTTTAATTTTTCATTGCTGTAGGCTCGTCCTTTATACAGTTGTAAAAATGTATCCATTAATTTTCTGTAACCGCTTATCCTGTTAGGGGTCAGGGGTGTGGTGGAACCTATCCCAGCTGACATTGGGTGACAGGCGGGGTACATTCTGGACAGGTCACCAGTAGGGGTGTAACGGTACACAAAAATCACGATTCGGTACGTACCTCGGTACACAAGTCACGGTTCGTTTTTTTTTTCGGTACAGTAATGAAAAAAATAGACAATTATTAAATATCTTTTACTTATTGGTAACCTTATTAAAACATACCACCACAGCAGTTAACTCTTTTTACACAATTTTTGAATGAAACAAATATATATAAAATCCTGCTTTTTCACATTGTTTGAATGAAAATAGAAATATAAAAGTGAAAAATAAAATCCTGCTGTTTTTTTAACACATTTTTTTTTTAATGAAAAATATAAATATACATTTCTGCTTAAACAGTTTTACTCAATTAAAATAAAAAGTATAGTGCAGCTGGTCAGCTTTAAAGCCTGCTCAGATTCAGTTTTACTAGGAACTTACTTAGCTTTCCCACTTTGTTAAAGTGCAGTAAACAAAACATGCTTATATCTAAAGTGCAGCTTAAACAATTTTACTCAACTCCAATAGCGTTGGTTATTTCTTTAGCGCGATGGTCAGGGAAACGCTCTTTCTTTTTAAACGATGACGATATCGTAGTTTGCACCAGATTGCTTTTTCTAGTCGTGCCGGTTAACGTTCAAACTCGGGTGGTGTCGCTTTAGATGCGTTAACATGTTAGACGTGTTTCCAAGTGCATACCCGACCGCTGTTCTGCAGTGTTGGCACACTGCTTTTGTCTTGTCAACTTGTTTATTTCCATCTTCGTATTTTACCCTGAAACCAAAGTGTTCCCAAACGGAGGACTTAAGGTTTGGGGGTGGGTCTTCAGGTTCGTCAGGCTCACTTGCCATGTTGTCAAAATGCGAGAATGCGCTGCACAAAGTGAAAGCGGAGATTTACGGTCGGACTCGGTCCGTCACTCAATTATGTCCGTTGGGGAACTAGATATTTTAAATGGTTCGGCTCGCAAAAACGGCATTAAAATAAAACAAAATAAAATAAAATAATATCCTGCGCCCAATAATTTGGTACAGGGTCGTGCCGAACCGAAAGTCGCGTACCGAACGGTTCGACACAAATACATGTACCGTTACGGCCCTAGTTACCAGACAATCAAAGGGCTGACACATTAGCCCTTTTTAGATAGGAATTGTGCACATTTGCAGGAAAGCCCAATCAGTCTTTTTTCAGCATTGGCAGTATTAAAACAATATCGGGAGTGCATCAAAATGCCGCCTACCTACTTTTGTTTATACAGAATGTGCCTTTTTCGGGGCAATGGGGGGCGTGAGCAAGTAACAAAACGTGTAGCTCAGCGTGTGACATAATCAGTGATGTGGGAGGGAAGCCGTGGCTGGTCAGTCCTTCGGCGATTCTCTCATTAGTTGGCCCGTTCTTCACCGTCCCCGTCATCTGACGGTTAATGGCCTCTTCGTTTGCGAAAAGTCTCCCCAGTTGCTCATCTTTACAGTGTCTGTCAGGTTTGTGTTTCCCTCTTGCTACTAGCTGCTCGCTAATTCCTGCTATCAGCTGTTTCCTGTTAGTCCACCACCAGTGGGTCGCATGTGCGGCGTCATCAACAGCTCCTCCCACAAGTCTTCAGCGGCCCCTCCCATTGCGGAAGGCCGCCTCGGTCTTTTTAAACCAAGAAGGTTCCGCCAATATGACTACCCTACGAGATGGAAAATTGAGCGACTTGGATCAACTCGCCCATCCAGCTCTGTGTGTCGCAGCTGGCTGGCAAAACGGCCCAACATTCACGGAAAATCTGGCAGTGTAAAAGGGGCTATAGAGACAGACAAGCATTCACACTCACATTCAGACCTACGGACAATTTAGAGTCACCAATAAACTTGCATGTCTTTGGACTGTGGGAGGAAGCTGGAGCACCCACAGAAAACCCACGGTGACACGGGGAGAACATGCAGACTCCGCACCTCTGCACCACCGTGCTGCTACTATGATCTGGTTCCCTCCCCTTAAGTTTGGTGAACCTAAATAGCGGTGGAGTCTCCCTCGCTAGGCTAGCTATTGATTCCAAATCCAAAAAATAGACGTTCTCAGAGGAAAACAAAGAACTTAATAGTGCAATATACTCATAAAAAGCCAACTTGTGCTAAAACAGTGGTTCCCAACTGGTGGGTCGAGGTCCAAAAGTGGGTCACGGGTCCATTCTGAATGGAACGCAAGTGACTTGCAAATGTGTCAAGTTTGTAAAAACCACACTTTATTCTGAAGTAAAGTGAATTTCCAGCACAGAGTTTTTATTTTGAAGTGCTGTTTCCTTCCTGAGTGACTAATGGACAGCTACTTAACAGAGACAGCAAACTAGCTCAAAGACATGTCCAAGCAAGTGTGACACTGAATGTTTTTAACTGTGTGGACCTTGAACTAATGACTGAGGAGATACCTGGACCCTGTGACTGGACCAGTTGGGAACCACTGACCTACACTTTAACGAAGGGTGCTTCATTTAGCCTTGAAGGTGATTTCAAACAAAGTTACGCTCAGTGAAGGAGTGGGAAGTGTCCAGTTTTGGAAAGGCCTATCAAAGGTTTTTGATTTGTTTTTGAGCTTAAAAGTGAAAGATAAAGAAGAAATGTTGTTAAATGATTATCACACTTATCTTTCTTATCATTTAATGTCGAGCAGTTGTCTTCTGGAGGTGGTGGGAGCAAACAAAGAGGAGGAGGAGGAGGAGGAGGAGGTGGTGGGAAGAATCTGAATATGAACATGAAGTTTGCCTGCTCTTATTGCTGGCGGGACGGCCTGATCAGTGAACCAGACAAAACCCTCAAATACTGCAATGCAAAGGCCAGACACACGTGAGTACAAGATGATATATAAGCAGAGTTTCCCGTCACCCAGAGACTTATCTTCAAGCCTGTCTGATAAAAAGGTGAAAGGTTAAATGTTGCACACATATACAACTGGTAAATCACAGTGAGTCAGAATGATCCACTTATTTCCCACCTCATATTTTGGTCCTCTTCTTGTGTCGTCACCTTCAGATGGAGTAAAGAGAGATGGGTGCTGCTGGTCAAGTCCTTGGAGAGAGGTAAATGGGTTCAGGTTCGACCGCTGCCACATGCCAAGAACTTCCCTGTGCAGTATGATGTAGGTCTTCCTCTGCTGCTATGCACTTTCATACAAGTAGTTTCAACCAAGCAACAATCCCACACTGATGAGTGATGGTCTTTCTTGCATTGCTTGTCTTTTATGTTTACAATATTTTATATACCTGGTGCTTTAAGATGACATTTGTAAGTTTGCCTGATGTCGTGGTGTTTGTTAAAAGTTTGTACAATATATTGTGATGTGTGTTAACAGCTGCACGTTTTCTCCTGGCAGATATGTACCCAAATTTTGGAGAAAAGAAAATGTAACTACTCTGGAAACTGCACCTTCGCTCACAGCCCGGAGGAGAGAGACATGTGGATGTATATGAAGAATAATGACTGTGAGTTATTAGAATAGTGTTTTTAAAAGAGCACTCCACTGACTCCTTCAACACTGACTACATATAAATGCACAAAATATTCATATGTTTGCCCTTATTCTGAAAAAGACAGTATAACCTCCAAGCTGTTTACATTTCGAATGAAAATAAATATTCCACTAATACTCCTGTTTACATGGAGCAGCACACACTCCCATTAACATGTCATTTATGACATCAAAATATTGGAAGAGGAACGGCTTGTCATTTTGCTTCTTTGCGTAAAAATTTTTTTCCGAGTTTTCCACTGGTGGCAGAGTTGTTCCACTGTGCAAACACACTCTACTGCGTTTAATCCTGCACCATCACCTTCCTGAAAAGTTCAGCATTGCAGTATTTGCTCATATTAAAAAAAACTTCTTGGTATTCAAGTCTTTAATAATGTTTAAAAGTAGGTGGATTCTTCCTTCCCTACCAGAAAAGTGTTTTTTTCTGCCCAACGCCAGCATGATGACGCACAGAGCTGTCCGTTACTTATAGAATACATCCTGTGGATGCACTGGGATGCATCATTAGTGATGTATCCCGGGGTCACTGAGTGTTTCGGTTCTTTTCAAACATCAGACACCCTCACCCAGGCGACCCAGAAGGGGGTGATCAGTCCCCGGCTTGCATCCCAGCACCAATTGACCACGGGGCTTCCCTCCTCAGCCAGAGCCACCTACTGTAGTGGTGCTCTCTCTGCGGCGACGGTACTCTTCTTAGCCAGCCCCACTATCCCCAGCTTTGTAAGGACCCTGCAGAGTGACCTGCCTGCAGAGCCCCGACATCCCACCGTAAACAGGCAGGAGGCTGTGTGTAGCAAACTGCAGTAAAAACCCCAGTTGAGACGCATATTCTGAATGCTCTGCATGCATGTCCACAGAGTGCCATTAAAACCTGAATAATCTCACTTATCTTTTTGGGAACAGTTCTGAATAAGGCTTAATTCTGAACATCCAAAGGGAATATGCTGCTTGTATGACTCAGAATTTTGTCATGTTCGGAATAATTGTGGGATATTAGTGTGCACATAAATGTGGTCACTGTCAGGTTCACGATCGACAGTTAAATTCCTCCTCCTTGACCAAACCAGAGGTCTCATTTATAAAACAATGCGTAGGATTCACAATAAAATGTACGTACAAAAGCCAAAAATGGCATGTGCCAAAAAATATTAAACAGTTTCTGCAATCAGGCTTCCACCTCACCATCTGTGTCGCCAATTTCCTGTCTCCAAAATATTCGTAAGCAATAAGTCTGTTTTTATAGATAACAACTCAGAGTGATAACAAATTTGTCTTTATGCCTGCAGTGCGTGAAATGCAGCAGATATACGACATGTGGCTGACATTAACCACCCAAAACCGCCAAGCAGATGGAGCCTCGATCACCCAGCCTGTACCAGAAGAGAAATACATCGTCATGCCAACTGACTATGCTGAGCCAATGGTGGGTACACGTTTGTTTTCAAAGACCAGAAGCAGTTGCACTGAAACGTACACGTCGTGCTTCCTGACTGTGCATCTGAAAGGAGACAATGACGCTGTTGCTTCCTCTTTGTATTTCAGAGTGGCTTCCACTGCCGTCTGTGTGGTAAGCACAGTAACAGCGAGCGGCAGTGGCAGCAGCACATCTCCACTGAGAAGCACAAGGACCGAGTGTTCAGCTGTGAGGGAGAAGATGAAGCTCTGACGTGGAGCTACCGATTCCCTGGCCCGTGCTTTGAACTCTGCCCCAAGTAAGACCTTTACCTGGATCATTTTTGGGGTTCAGTTCGTGTAAAAGAAATAATTCACAGCTAAAGGCAACTGGTTTGAGTATCTGAGAAACCCAAAGATACACTTAACATCCTCTGAATTTCTATCTTACTGATCTTTTCAGCATGTCAGTGTTGATGATGTTAATATTTGACAGGTTGGATGGCGGCTGTCCCGATGGTGTGAGCTGCGACTTCGCCCACAGCGTAGAGGAGCTGCAGGAGTGGACAGAGAGACGAGATCTGCTGCGACGGAAGTTGGCCAAAGCCAGAGAAGACATGCTTATCATGCCTGACGAGTTTGACTTTGGGAAGTACAACTTTCTACTTCAGGGCTGAGGAGATGTTTTTATACTTAACAAGCTGATAACTGCCAAACTAGCATTTAAGTTTATTTTTAAAATCAGGACCAAAGTTCAGGAGGTGACTTGAAGAAACTAGCAGTTCCAATTTTCCTGCCAAAATCACTTGGAATAAGACACAAAGAACATTTATTATTTGCATTCCCTGACATGCCATATACTCTTTACTTTAAATTGGTAATTGTGTGTATTTCTTGTTACAGTATGGAACATTTTCAGACCGACTTGTATTGCTCATGGCTGTTCTGCTGAGACATCGGTAAAGAAAGTTTCTTAGTGTTGTGAAACTAAGGTTCATGTTGGTGCCACAGCAGATACACACACACACACCGTTCACCACAGGGTATTCTTAAAAAGTTCATGTAACCATGCATTCAGCCTTTTGAAAAATGTTTGTTAAATTCTTTTACTCTTTTCTCCTCTGTTTGAGTCCTGTTTGAGCGGGGAGTAATATTTACAGCTTTCATTCCATAGTTCACTAAGAGAGAGTGGGTTCGAGGCCTTTTACTGTGAATTGAAATAATCCTCACAAATGATTTCTCAAAGTCTCAATAAAAATTGTCACGATCAGTTTGTACTCAAGCAAAGACGTAATGTGGATTTGTTGGTGTGTTTGACTTTGGGGGTTTTTATGTGGAGCATTCTGGTTTATAATATGTTTATTGTCAGAGACGGGTGTTGCTACATTAGCCAAATTATTATTTTGAGATTTAAAGGTCCAGTTTGTAGGATTTAGCGGCATCTATCAGTAAGGTTGCAGAACTGAAGCTTCTCTCGTGTGCTAAGGGTGAAGGAGAGCTAAGGTGGCCAAAACGAAAATGCGATTGTCCCTATCTTGAGCCAGACGTTGGTTTGTCCACCAGTCCACCAGTTAGTTGTGACTATTATGTACCATTTCAGCCGATAGATGCCCTTAAATCCTACACAGGGGGAGTAGATTTGCTATTAGTCTAACTTAATAAGAAGGAAACAAATTTATGCTGTGACACCAGGGGTCAGCACGCTCGGCACATAAATGCACCCAGCTCAGACGCTACTTCCTGCAGGCGGTGGGCTTATAGAGTGGCGGCTCCATGTTATTCATTTGAGCTGAGGCCAACCAAACCCCATGGCCCAAGGCCTGGCCACCAGATGCTCGCTGGCAAGTCCCCCTCGCCCAGGTCTGGCTCTAGAGGCGGGCCCTAATGTCCATATACTGGGTGAAGTACTCTGTCCCTGAATGTGCCATTTCATTGTGGTCTTTTTGAATCAAACATAGTCTTGCCCCTCCCCTGGGACCACTTTCCCTTGGGAGACCCTCGGGGACATGCAAACCCCTCCACCAAGTTAAGGTAACGATTCTTGGAGAGGGCTGGAATGTGCTGCTGGGGAGAGGGATGTCGGGAATACTTTGCACATCCTGCTGACCGCACGACCCGGCTTGGGATAAGCGTTTTAAAATGGATGGACGGACAAAGTTATGCACTGTGTCTTTAAAGTGTCAAGTTACTTAATAACAAATGCACAACAGCAGCGTGCACTGCCACTGAAGATTTTGGGTCTTAGGGGCTCAAACAATGCTCATTACATATGTATAAAAATGAGAATCACACAAGTCAAAAACAAAATGAAAGCCTGAGACATAAAATAGTGCAAGTTCAAATATAGGGATAAAATATAACAAATAAAATGTTAATAGTTATATAGATTAGTGGTTTACAGTAACTGCAAAAAAATAAGATCTAAGACTTTTTTATGCACTCAGTAGATAAATAACTTAAGTTTTGTTTGTAAATTTGTTAAATTCCATGTTAGTGTATCTGCCTGACAGATGTGGCATATGAAGATTCTTTTTAAACAGCATAATTGGTGTGCTCAGTCCCGTGTACAAAGGCAGTGTCCTTGCTGCAGCGGCCTTGGGTTCGCTTCCAACCTGTGTCCCTTTGCTGCATGTTATCTCTCATTCTTTAACGCTTAAACTGCTCTGTCCAATAAAGACACAACAAACAAAACATATTCTCAGAAATAACATCATTGCTACACAGATGTACCTTGGGATGGTTACAATTAAAGGCCACCCAAAAATGTGCAGTTTGCCACAGATGTTGTGAGGGAGAGAGCCTTTGGCATGTTTACTGCAGGATTGTTCACCAGAGCTGTTGCCAATAAACTGAATGTTCATTTCACCGACATAACAGGTCTCCAGTGTCGTTTCGCTGAATTTAGCAGAACATCCAGCCGACCTCACAACCACAGACCACGTGAAATCACACCACCTCAGGACATCCACATCCAGCGTCTTCCCCTGCAAGATCATCTGAGACCAGTCACTGAAACATCTGATGCAACAAGTGGTTCACACAACCGACGAATTTTTGCACAAACAGTCATCTGCATGCTCATCGTCCTCACCAGGGTCTTGACCCGACAGCAGTTTGACAAAGTAGCCGACGTGTGCAGTTGTGTTGCTGGTTGGATATACTGCCAAGTTCAGGGGAGCGACATTGGAGACGTCTTGTGGTCGTGAAATAATCATTAAGTTCATGGCCAACAGCTCTGGCATTGTGTTGTGATCAAACTACACAGTTTATAGTGGCCTTTTATTGTGACCAGCCCGAGGCACACCTGTGTGGTAATAATGCTGTTTAATCAGCATCTTGATGTGATGCACCTGTCAGGGTAGATAGATTGTCTTGGAAAAGGAGAAGTGCTCACTGACATGTATTTGAACAAATTTGTGAGTGTATGAAAAAAGTCTTTGATCTTTAAGATAAACCTGAAAAAAAAAGGGAGCAAAAACAAGTGTTGCATTTAAATTTTTTTAATCAGTATATATACTGTATATACCAAGATTATTACAGTTAACTGAAACTGAACTGTAATAAAAACATTTTATTTTACTGAAATAAAAATAAAAACTAGACTTGAGGGGAAAAAAATAACAGAAATGATATTGTGTAATACAAAACTAATAAATAAATATTTACAGGAAATGTATTTCGTTATATGTCAATTTGGTCAATTTTGTCAATATAAAAAGCATGAGGAGTGTGCAAGACATTGGTGCATATGCTTATTTAGACTGGGTTGCCAATATGATAATATCCCCCATTTAAAAAACAAACAAACAAAAAAACCTAAAGCATTTCTAAACAACTAAATAAAATAAAATAAAATAGATTTAATTTGAATTAATGTAATTAAACCAGCAAACTCTCTCTGGAAACTAACTGAAAATTAATTAAAAACTAAAAACAAAAAAAAACAAACTAATAGAAAATACAAAACTGTAACAACTCTGGCAGATAGAAAGGTGTAAACTGTTTGTTTAGACCTGTAAACATAGCAATATTGCTGCTAATACTTCCTCCTATGCTTTAAGTAAATACATTTTCATTGTAATATCAGCCATGTTTTTTTAAAAAAAATACTTTATCTAACAATACAATGTACAAAGATGAGTGCCATTCTACAAAAGCTGAAAATTAAATAATTTAATATCAGTAAACAGATTTTTAAAATATAGTAAATAAAGTAAGAATCGACAATAGAAAAAAAACACACAAACAGTTCATTTCACATGTAGTTTGAGCCTTCCCTTTTTTACTGCAGTACTCAAACACGTCACAAGATGGCGCGGAGAGCTTCCGGGTTCCTGTCCTCGAGCCTCCTCTCTCCTGCACGTGCTGCCGTGCGTGGAGAGAAATGTGCTCAGCTCAACAGGGTTGTTGTTGTTCTCACCTTCAGAGCCCGCCCCCTGCTACTCATTGGCTCTGCGGCGTGACTGACAGGCGCGTGCCTAGCGCTCGTCAAATCAACATCATCCAAGGGGCGTGGCTCCGCTTCCTAATTAGAATACAAGTTGTTTGGACACATGGAGACGTCCCCGTGATGTGAGTTGCTGCAAAGTTGGTTAGAAGTGACTGAAGTCAGGTGCAGAGTCACAGTTTGAGCGTTTCTCTGTCAGACATCAGTAGATTCTTCACGGGTCGGTCATCATGTCAACTGCTAACCAAATCTTCTTTGGAGATAGAAGCGATGTTCCTGATCTCCTCAAGTCCCTGGCTGACTATCCCTTCTCCTTCCCTGCCTTTGATGACACCGGTAAGAATATTGTCTCGTGATTTATAAAGCCGACAAACAGCCTTGAAACTTGCTGCAGCTGTTTGCATATACTGTAAAGTGTTGTACGTGCAATTTGATGTTGCTTACGGGAATGGGAAATGTACTGTTTCATTTATTCTGCTAAGCATATGATCCACACACTAACTTATGCAATTTAAACCAGTGGTTCTCAATCAGGAGTCTGCGGGCTCTTGTAATTCACTATGAAAGTGAGCCCAGTGTGTGAGAGTGAATATTCTGATCATAGATTTCACTTCCTCCATTATCCTCCTCCTGAGACCCAAACGGTTGGTTGGTATGCATTTTAAATTATTTCAGCTATTTGGGATCAGTAGCACCCAGTAATTATTAAAAAAAAACCCTGAATATTGTCAATGATATGTAAGATACGATATGTTGAATGTGAGCATTCAAACTTGTGCGTTGGTGTGTCTGTGTCACTCTGCAGTTACACCTCCAAAACACTAGTCGGCGGTGGAGGTTTCAGTGAAGTGCTGTAAAGTCTAGTTGATTCAAAACACACATTAAACACACGTTAAAAACACATTAAACACACATTAAACATGGCTTAATACAGACAATTTCAAACACAAGTACACAAATCAGCTTCACTATAACTCGCAGCATTCACAGACAAACACTTGTCTTTATCTGGACACATTTTCCCCATTAATACAACATGCTAATGTTTTAGCACAAGCCTATGGCATTTTACACTGTATAAATTAGCCTAGCAGCTAGCAACCTTTTCCTCTTCTCATGCAAAACCAGGGACAACAGCAACATTTCACAAAGGTAGCAGTACATAATTTAGCTCCATTACAACTCACAAGGTTCACTGACAAAACAACTGTCTTATACTAAACACGTTTTCCAAACAAATACAACATGCTAACGTTATTAGCACAAGCCTTTGGCACTTTACATTGTATAAATTAGCCTAGCAGCTAGCTATCTTTTCCTCTTCTCGTATAAAACCAGGGACAACAGCAACATTTAACAAAGGTAGCAGTACATAATTGAGCTCCATTACAACTCACAAGGTTCACTGACAAAACAACTGTCTTATACTCAACAGATTTTCCAAACAAATATAACATGCTAACGTTATTAGCACAAGCCTATGGCATTTTACGTTGTATAAATTAACCTAGTAGCTAGCTATCTTTCCCTATTTTCATATAAAACCAGGGACAACAGCAACATTTAACAAAGGTAACGGCACATAGTTTGGCTCCATTACAACTCACAAGGTTCACCAACAAAACAACTATCTTATATAAACACGTTTTCCAAACAAATTCAACATGCTAACATTATTAGCACAAGCCTATGGCATTTTACATTGTACAAATTAGCCTAGCGACGAGTGGAGATTTCCTCTGCTCATATGAAGCAGAAGGTCTGCAAGTCAGGTTACGGGGTAGGGTCTATGTCAACATGGAGCCTACGGCGTAGCTACGGTGTCGATTCAACGCAGATGTATAAATTCAGCCTAAGTCCTAATGTCTTTAAATGAGTACTTCCTAATTAACAGTGTCTTAGCTTGTTACTGTTGCTAAGATCAAATTCAAAGCCCCTTCAAATGGTCAAATTTGTTGCCATAACTATAAACATTATTAATAAGACGTAAACAAGTTTCAACCATATAATCTGATCAGGGTTTTACCCCGTCCACTTTTGTGTCGGGATCAGCTGCAGACTGACTTGGCAAAGATGGCTGCCATTTTTTTTTTCACATGGAGTATTATATTGTGCTCTCACTAGCACTGGTTGGCACAAAAAAGTGTCCACCAACAAGGACGACAGGTCAAGTTACGTCAAATGAAGTAAAGGATCAAGTAAACCCAAAATGTGATGCCCTCATAAGAGGACACAGGGTCTCAGGAGGGTATTATCTCATCAACTGTAGATGACAACAGGAGAAATGCTGCTCTTAATCATATCTAACTACCAAAATATTTTCAGAAAGAAGTCCCTGAAGTGAAATCATATCAAATGGGGGCCCATGACCTAATTTTTTTTTATCAGTTTAATGGGCCCTTGACACATAAAAGGCTGAGAACCACTGGATTAAACTACAAACAGTATGTTAGGAGGCATAAATTACCTTCACCTGGACCACTCACAACATCACTGGTGATAATAATCCAAGCAGTGGCCATTCTGCTGCCTAATGAATTAACTAATTTGTACATCCCAGTTTCTTTCAGAGTACTCCAGCTAGCATGCTCAGGTTTCTCAGTAACGGAATATGGTGTTTACACACTCAAACACATAAACAGGGTACTCCAAACACCCAATCATAAACGCTTAATTCATGTCCATGTAAACACACTCATTGTACTGATTACTGTAGTAAAGGTGACCATGGTTGCATGTTCAAATTAAACCTGTTGCAAGTTTGAGCTGGTGGTCCATCTCCTCCGATGACTCAAAATGTGGTACAAGTGGCCAAAACTAGCGAGCTGTATTAAGTCAGCAGACTGTGTGTGTGCTGCTGTTTCACAGTGGAGTCACAATACAGAAGCCTGCAGCTGATGCAACAACACTGAAACACTCCTCACTCATGGTTTCATCACATCATTAGAGTCTTTGTGCACTCTGCTCATCTTGTAGACTTTCTTGCTTACTTGCTTTTTTTAGTTAGATTCTTTTTTTGGGCATTTTTACTCGATAGCTGACAGTTGGAGTGACAGAAAGGAAGGTGACAGTGAGGAGAAGTGACATCCAACAGAGGCCTCCAGCTGTAATTGAACCAGATCACATGTGATAATGGCGACACTCCTGCAGACAGTTAGTGCATCATGGTCGGCTTACTGTCTACCATCAGACTGTCACATCCAAGTGGAAGTGACCTTTAATAGCACTGGAAACATTACTTTGCTACTATGCTATTTTACTATGCTGCTAACATATTTCATGAATTAAAATAGGTTGCATTCACTGACTAAATTTGTCTCTAAACTGGTGGAATGCAAATTAAAAATGTGGACATGGCTGTATAAAGTCTGTCTAAAACTCTGGGTAGTGACGGAAAAATGAGATCGCGGATACAAGCGGTCGAAATGAGTTTCATCTGTGGGGTGGCTGGGCTCAGCCTTAGGGATAGGGTGAAGAGCTTGGACATCCGGAGGGAGCTTGAAGTAGAGCCGCTACTTCTTCGCATTAGGATGCCCCCTGTGTGCCTCCCTGTCTTGGTAGGAGGTAGACCAAGGACACACATATCTCTGGCCAGGAGGAGCTGGGAGGTGTCGCTGGGGAGAGGGACGTCTGGGGTGCTTTGCTTGGCCTGCTGCCACCGCGACCCATCCCCGGATAACCGGATGAAAACAGATGGATGTTTTAAGTCTTGGAGGGGTCGTAGCAGGGTTGATGGGAATAGACAAACAGACAGAGGGGCCCTCACCCTGGCATCTGACCTCTGGCAGTAAGAATGAACTGACCTCTAGTTTTTGGTACATCTGTGAAATGATTTGTCTTTTGAACACATGCAGAAATACTTATGTTGTAAACTTAAATATATTGGCAGCATGGTGCTGCTCTGGTGTTCTGCTTCGATTAATTGATCCTTGAAGCAGTACATAAACAAAACCTTCACGCTGGACCACAAGGCCGCCTCCTATCTGAGCTGCTCCATGAGCACAGTGTCTCCATCGATGTGAACCGACAGTAGAGGGCACTGAAACGTGCTTATGTTTGCATGTTTTGCACTGTAAACAGCAAATCTGAGCCCAAGGCTTTTCTTGTTTCCCAACAAGTTCTGCAGCATATTTACCAAATAGCACGGATTGTCAACTTTGTATACTGTGATTTTTTTCTTTTTTTGCACAAGTACAGGTGCAGTACTACACATGATTCAATGTCACACTTACCCAGTTACCCCCGCCACATGACCACCATAATATTCATCATTCTCTCAAAGAGGGAGTCTCAAGCTATGTAACAGATTTGTAAAACAATTTTATTGTGTTCTTACTTGACAAAATAAACTCCAAACAGTCTGTATGCAAACTAAATGACAAGTCTGGATTGCAGTATGAGCACTCTTAGATTAAAAATACCATAAAACTTCAATTAAACGCCCAGTCCCTTTTACTAACCCGGTGTGGCTACACATTTTGACAAAAAAAGGCCTGTCCCAATTAGAGGCCTGGGCTGGCTGCCAAGTGATTCATTTTTAGAGAAGATCTTTGGATGTAGAAAATAGATTGTCGGCTACCCACTTGAGTTAACATTGGATGCTACATATTGTTAGCTCAATTACATTCTCCTTAATCGAGTCATTAAATTAATTTTACTGAAACCATGAGCACCAAAGAATAATTCATTCAGATTTACCGGCATGGTAAACAAGAGAGATGAAAAGAAGGTGGTGACTCCCTACCTCTGAAGTCAAATTATGTGTCCATTCCTCAATGACCTTGAAAGTTATTATATTTCTTTAGTCCCTAAGGGTCCTCAGATCAAAATAATCAAGAGGGTTTTTCATAAAAACAGGTGCTGAATCTTCGGGTGCTGTAAAAGGAACTCTCTCCTCCTCTGATGTGCCGTCTCTTAGAGCTAGATCAAATAAATGATTCATTATTAATGTAGTTGATATGTTACATTATTATTTTTTGCACATTGAGCACTCTTCTTTTTGTGCACGGATGTTCTGAATAAATTGACTTTATTATTTTTGGCATTGTTCTCAGCCTGGGAACCTTTCTGTTGCTGTCCAGCTCAGTTAAACAGGTGTGTGGATATTTCTCCTACCGTCCTCTCTTGATTGTCCATTGTACCGAAGCACCCAAGATAAACTTTTTTGTTGCCCTGAGTAGGCGCAGCTTCACAGCAGCCCTAAGACTTGTTTTATTGGGAGACGGTGAAGAGAAGATAAAATAGGAGTGATGTGATCACACCTTTTGGTTTTTCTTAAAACTCTGCTGCTGCAGTCTGAAGAAGCTTTGTCAGTCCAGCAAAAAGTGCATTACAGTAATCTACTGGAAATGAAAGCGTGAACTGGCTGTTCAGAGTGACTGAGACAAGATGCATGTAAAAAGACAAGTGGTTTTTTTTAGATGCTGTTGTAGAGTTTGGTTGGTTCTCGTGTGTGGTGCTGTGGCTGAGGGGCTCAGACTAGACTCGTGACTGTTTTTCTAAAATCCTGACCTTGGGTGTAACAGGATGTTGCCATACAGTCATTGGGTATCACACAGTATTCTCGGATGGTGGTGTAACATGGGTGAACCACAAGGGATGTTTGCCGGTCACTGGCTCTATGTATGCAGCATGTTACCCCGTCATCAACACTTTCAATTATTAAATCAAGGGAAAATGTTAAAATCTTTGCATGGTGTGTTTCACAAGTTTCACATTGGTGTTTCCTCCACCTATTGCACCATCAGGAGATAGGACAGGAATGCAAACAGTCCATCCAGTGATGGAGCAGCTGCAGAGGTTTAACTGGTCTCCTCTGTGCTGGACCAGCTCCACTTTGTTTACCGTGTGGCCACTGTGGTGAGTCTGTGAGGACAAATAAGAGATTAGTGGGGAAGGTGGGGAGTTTTTGCGGTTTGAACATCGTGTTCCTGAAACTAAACATCCTGCTCGCGCGCTCACTGTGGCGCGCAACGGAGCAGCGCGTGCACGGAAACATGAGATTTCCGCTTTGTAGCGTTTGATGTGGAAAAATTTCATTATCAGAAGAATAACGGTTATTATTATAACGGTTGTGTGAAATGATGGGTGGCATAGAGAGTATAAACGATAGGAGCACGTGCACACAAAATAAATAAAAGTTAAATTTAGAGGGTTATTTTATTTTAAAATGTAGTTTTGGGATGTCGAGACATTGTAGTTCTGTCAGGAAGTAGAACGTAAAGGTGGTAATGTATCTTAAAGACACGAGGTGGTGTTATTGTCAGGTGATAAATATGCACTCACTTACCTTTTGGGTCCCCGTGACAGCTGTTCCAGCAACGAGCGCGCGCCCGCTCCAGCTCGTCTTGGCCCACACGTGCTAAAGATGTGAAGCCACGCCCCTCGACAGATTGTACTTTCACGTGAGTAGGATGGAGGCGGAGGGCACGTGTTTTGCCACGAGTGTCTCCTTGTGCAGGACTGAGGGAGGGAAGGATGCACGAGCTTACTCCATTGTATTGTATTGTATTGTGTGTGTGTGTGTGTGTGCACAGAGTGTGATGCAAAGCGAAGGTTAATGTGTGGTCATGATAGAGGTGTGCAGGTGATTAAGATTGGATGCTTCCTGCAGGATGTGTGCGCGCGCTGTGATTATTTATATTATTTATATATTTTGGATTCATATGCAGCATGCACGAGACTGTATGTTCCTACTATGGTGCACATATGTACTGTACATGCCTCTCTATATAAAGAACTGATCTCCATGTGGAGAGTGTGCAGCCAATGAGCAGACACAGAGCCACTACACAGACAAAGAGGAGCGCCCGTACACATTCACACAGACAGCACTGTCAGCCAATCAGCTTCTACTATTCCACAAGTAGGCGGGGCACGCGGCTCATGAATATCCAACATGAGCGCTCGGTGGGCACAGAGAACAAGGGGCTTGTGTAGTGTTGTTTTTGCATCCTAAAGATATTGACAAACAGGCCTGAAATCGGCACCGTCAGTGAAAACAAAGGGAGATCCGCGCGTGTGTGAGAGATCCTGTTGCATCCCGGTGCAGGAGGCGGAAGAGGAGGCTCGGTACCGTTAGGGAACATCGCCCCGGTGTGCTCGCAGCGTAGCAGGGAACAATGTCAGGCAAAGCAGCGCTCAAGCCGAGCGGTGCCGTCGTTACAGCGGCTCCGCAGAAGTCCTTTCCGTTTGTGTTGAAGAAGATCATGGACATCCCTCCTCCTAACATCCTGGAGGAAGGCGAGGACGGTTAGACACACATACACACACACAAAGAGCGCTTCTTCTGCATTGTGAACCACAAGTTTGTTTATACATGCAACAAAATGTGCGTAATCACATCTGTGCCATGCGGCGTTAATTGCAATTGGATGACATTATGGTTGGTAATTAAACCGGATTAGGACGGATGTGCCATATGTTGCACGGAGCCAGTTTCATGTGAGGCTGCGAGGAAACATAAAAAGAACAAAAAGTTCCAACTCCTCTGTGCTGCTCTCCACACAGCGCACACACACTGGGAAGACACTCAGAGATAAAGGCGGTGTTTGGCTTTCAAATGCACACACTGGTGTTGTGTTATCTGGTCCTGAGTGTGTGTGGTGGTGGTTTGTGTTGTGGTGGTGCATGTGTGGAGCAGGCAGGCGCTCTGTCCTCGTCCCTGAAGCCTCAGTCTGCCTTTTATTCCATCTTTCCATCCACTTTAAAACTCACTGACAGGCTAATTTGATGTAAACCCTCTTTTTTAATTGATTAATTTTTGCACACTGCCACACCCCCCTCTCTCCACCCTGCCTCTTTGCATCCACTAATTATGCGTCCCTGTTCGTGCACCTGTCTGAGCCTCTCCGAGGGGACCAGGGTTGGCATGTGCACACACGGAAAACATTTCTTTAACCATTGTTCCCCTCGTGTCTTTAATGCAGAAATAGAGAAAGAGAAGCTGTGCTCATCTGAGGATGTGGAGGGAGGCGGGGCCGGAGCAGCCAGTGCTGGTGGAGGTTCCAGAGGAGGAGGCGGCGGTGGCGGCGGCGGTGGTGGTGGCGGAGGCGTATCAGCCTCCTTGACCCCAGCCATTTGGGAGAAGACCATCCCCTACGATGGGGAGACCTTCCACTTGGAGTACATGGACCTGGATGAGTTCCTCCTGGAGAACGGGATCCCCGTGAGCCTGGAGGAGGAGGAGCTGCAGAAGACGCTGGCCTCAGTGGGAGTCAAAGGCAAATCCGTCCCCAAGGTTACTCCTGCAGCTACCACTACTCCTCCTGCTGCTGATGCTGCTGAGGCTGAAGCCACTGTCCCCACCTCAGCAGCTTCCCCCTCTGTCTCCGCCACCTCCACGGTCACCTCAGACCCAGAGGAAACGGTGACCGTCACCACGTTACAACCAGCTAAGCTAGAGGAGGAGGAGGAGGAGGAGGAGGAGGAAGAGGAGGAAGGACAAGAAGAGGAGCCAGAGGAGGCGACAGCAGAAGTGACAGAGAAGAAAACAGGTGACAAATATATTTTTATTATACTCTTTGTGGATGTGTCATTGTGCAGTTCCTCTTTATGATACTTCAGATAACTCCCATTGACTTTCATTATTTGTTCCTGTTTGTTTTTAAGTTCCCCCATTACTATTAGACTGAATCGTTTAAGCAAAACACTTCCTGCTGGCTGAGAGTCTTAAACTCTGTCTCCAGAAGCTGAATACAGAGTGTCTACAGGTCCTTGTCCTCATTATTTGTGTCTACAATAAGGCCTTAAAACAGTCTTAAACTTGAATTTTTGAGGTCTTAAATACTATAAACTAAACTAAACTACTATAATACTGTCATTTTACTTCATATTCACACTTAGCTGTTGACTTAACTGACTCTAATCACCATATTCCTACAGAACACTTAGCTCTGCACAAGACCACATATATACTACGTGCCTGCAATGCTAACCTGTGACGCTTAAATAAGTATAACATGATTTGTCCAAAAATCTGTCCTAAATTTGGTTAAAGGTGTCCCTCTAAAGTTGAAGCAAGATATCTCAGAGGTAATACAACAATAGAAGCCAAACAGTAATGAAGGCAACACAAAAATTAAGGTGAAATTAAACAAAATAAGATCAGAGAGAAGACCGATGATAATGAGAAAAAGAGATGAAAATGATTAAAGAAAACATACCAATAAAAGCAATAAATACTTAATAATAAATGTTGAGACAGAATAAAACTGTCAATAAATAGAGGTGTACTTTAGGTGTACTATTAGTTGCTCTACCCTTGTCGGTGCTGGCATAACATTAACATTGAACAGGTAGACACACAGTTTAAACCTGACCTTTGAGCCCATGCTATAACTTTGTGTTTGGCCTGTCGCCAGCATGCTGGTCCACTATACGCCACTGCGACCTGTGAAAAACTTGTATCTCCAAGCCCTAAAACTAAACTAAATGCAGACATTGTCACTGCTTTGTTGAGAAAATCATAAGCTCATATGAACAGCTGTAAGTTCAGCTACAATCAGAAATCAGTGTATCACACATGCACACAGACGCCCAAATATTTTTGACCAGATACCTGTTCATATTGGAGCGATTATGCAGGGTTGACTCTTGATGCTTTCACAAAATATTTACAAGATTTTTGATGAATAATCATCAGTAATGTGGATATAAGGACTAAGTGGGTAAAGGCAAATAATAGAACAGTCTAATAAGTTCAGAAAATTACACCAACTCACTGTAATGCGGCCTTTAAAACCAGGAAAAGACAACACTTAGGATATATATCCATATATTGCCCAGCCCTACATGCAGCCATTAAATTTTCCTTTAAAAAAATGACATTACAGTACATCAGGAAAGACATGTCATTGTTTTAAAACCCAGTCTGGGAAGAAGAGAAAGGAATTACAGTGCACTCCGAAACACTCGAGCCACAGCCACAGCCACAGCGTTCAACATTCCCACAGAGTTAAATACTGAACACTATGAGCCTCACAGAGAGTTGATGTTTTACAGGATCTTTGTACTGTTTTGGATAACAGTGTACAAAAGGAACAAGGAACGAGGAAACCATAAAAAATCCTCCACCGTAGGTATTTTTTCTGAAGTTTTCCTTGGCAGCTGACAGGAAGTGAACAGGAACCAATTCAGTGATACTCAGTTTATGGTTCGTTATCGGGTGCTGGGTGACCCGCTGCCCATTTTCTAATCCACAAATGAAAATAAATTGATTGAAAGGTGCCAGAATTCATCTAAATTACAATTACAAAAAACAGCTTGATTGTCAAAAAGTGTCAGGGGAGGATTCCCCAGACGGCCTGACAGAGGTCGGGTCTAAGCCCCTTATGTCCTCAAATCCTAGAAACTGGCCCCTGACCTTCTGTCGTTTTGCAAAAGTGGCCCCCGGGCAGAGCAAGCTGAGTATCAGGTCTCTCACTGTACCAAAGTCATGTCTTAAAGCTGCTTGTTTTGTTTGACTGACAGTAGCCTGCAAGTGTTTGGTATTTTCTGTTTAGTATACTAAAGTTATAATTGTTTATTGATAAACTATAATCAACAATATTAGGGCTCAGTCAGTTAAAAAGTGTAAGTCCTGATATTGCTCTTTACACATCTAATGAGGCGAAAAGTGTGTGTGCTATGAGCTCAAAAAGTCTGTCTAAACATGTGTAACATACACCGCACTGTCACTTAATCCCCACTGTGTCATTTTGCGGCCTCTCATGTATCCAAGTTTACTTTGTCTCTCCATCCCCACAGATCGCAGCCCCGCAGAGCGCAACACGCCCTCCCCCATCGACCCAGATGCCATTGAGGTGGACATTAACTTCCAGCCGGACCCAACAGACCTGGTCCTGTCCAGCGTGCCGGGGGGAGAGCTGTTCAACCCGCGCAAACACAAGTTCTCTGAGGAGGAGCTGAAACCGCAGCCGATGATCAAGAAGGCCAAGAAGGTGTTTGTTCCTGATGAGCAGAAGGTGGGTTAGTTTAAACATATGTGCAGTGTCTATTGAGCACCAAAGAAACACTTTGTTTGAAAGCTGCAAACTGTTAGCAACTGATGAATGGGGGACTTCTTATTGTATTATTTTAGTTTGCTTCATTAAAGGGTAACTTTTTTCAACCTGGACCCCATTTTCCCATGTTTCTGTGTCTAAGTTACCAATGGGAACAACGGTTTTTGAGCTTGGTCCAGTATTGACAGAGGGCTGCAGATGGCAGATGCACTCGAGGCATGTTCGCGCCTTCCATTTACATCCACTAACAGTGCTTGTTTTTGTCACTGACAGATTCAGATTGCTATTCTAAGTGTCTGACACATTATGGAAAGGATCCCTACAGAGCTAGACATTTTCTTAAAGAGTAAGATACTTTTTGCTTTACCAGAAACAACTGTGAAATCTTTAACGCCAAACCTGCCAAACTCCATTTAAATAAACAGTAATTTTATCATTGTAAAACACGCTTCATTCAAAGTCGACAGAGACAAAATAAACCTCAGAAAAAACATCTTGGTTTGTCTTTTCACTGTCTGAACAACCATCAACTCTGGTTTAATTGAAATAATCCTTGATTCACCCAGTTAGGTGTGAAAACATGCTGCCTCTGTACACGCTTAAATCACTGTTTATTTAAATGGAGTCTGGTGGGTTTTTGGCAATGACGATTTCAGGGCTGTTTCTGGTTAAACAAAAAGGATCTTACTCTATAACTAAGAGGTCTAACTCTGAAGGGATCCTTTCCATAATGTGTCAGACACTTAGAATAACAATCTGAGCCTGTCAGTGGCAAATAAAAGCTCTTTTAGCGGATGTAAATTGGCAGTGTGCGACCACCCCTAGTGGTTACATTACAGTGTTTTGCAGCTGCTAGCTGCAGCCCTCTCGCTCAATAGTGGACCAGTTTCAAATATTGTCATTGTCACTTAGAGACAAAAACATGGGAATATAAGGTCCAGGCTGAAAAATACCAGAGTTACCCTTCAATAGATATAGTTGGTGTACAATTTTGTACAATAGTTTTGACCCCAACAGAATGATTAAGTGTGATTGCAGTTGTTGTTGTCAGCTCTGGTGAAGATTAAAGCAAACAGAGTGGTGGCCTGTGGATTAGAGATCAAAGATGTGGGGGATGTTTTCACTACACAGATGTTCGTTTGTTTCAAATCCCTCGCTAGTGTTGGTTATGTTCAACTGTGCTTCTCCTGCTGCCCTCAGGATGACAAATACTGGTCCAGGAGAAAGAAGAACAACGTGGCAGCAAAGCGTTCTCGCGACGCACGGCGGCTGAAGGAGAACCAGATCACAGTGCGCGCCTCCTTCCTGGAGCGGGAAAACGCTGCGCTGCGGCAGCAAGTGGCCGAGCTGCGGAAGGACTGTGGCCGCTGCAAGAACATCCTGACCCGGTATGAGGCGAAGTACGGCCCGCTGTAAAGAACTCAGAACAAAACCCACGACGTAATCAATGAGACAAAAAGGAGAACTCCCTTCCCCGCAGAATTCAACACAGACACAAACACCAAGGGAATCTAAATTTGCACTGTCGTCTTCGCTGACCTCCAGTCACTGTGTCAAGCTCCAGTCGTTGTTTCAATGCTGGAGTTTCGGATGCACACTGGCAGGCGGTGAGACATGATGGGAGCGGTGGTCACAGGAAGGCCTGTGGAGAGCGCCTGGCTCCTACACTCAGAGAGGAAGGGGACGATTGTGGACACTCCCATGGTCAAACACACATGGATAAATCTGATCTGTCTTAAGACGGTCTCAAGAAAGTCAGGAAATAAGCAAAGAGCAGACTGGTACAAAAGAATCACAGGCTTTTAAATACTTACACAAATCAGTTTTTATCACTGCACAGCACTTCTTCTTAGTGGACCAAAGCATGATCGAGTAACGTCAGTTAGAAGTCCTGTATTTAGAACAGTGCACACATGCCGCCCCTCACATTTCCTTGTGTTGCACTCATGTTTGTGTCTGTACTTCCTTTAAAAATACTCCGGCTGAGGCTCAGATGAAGGATGTTCGTTAACTCACGGCAGGGCAGGAGAGAGACAGACGGGATAAAGGAGGCAGATTCAAAGCGGTACTTCCAGCCTGAAGAGAGCGGAGGCACAGACCTCAGGTCAGCAGAGGAGAAACAGATTAGTGGTGTGATTCAGTCACAGTTCTTCCTTCTTGTAACCCACATGCACGCCTCTGCGCACACAAAAACTGTTTGTATATATAGTCATCTCCCTGCACCACATAGATATGTGCGTGTATCCGTGTGTAATCCATTTTTGCACTTTCTCTTAAAAACAGATTATAGTGGTGGCAGACTTTATTTACCACCACGACGGGAGACACAGTAGCGTATTAGGGAAAAAAAACATGCATGACCTAAAATTTAAAGCTACTGTGATGTAGTTTGCTTTTCTACTAACCTCAGACCAGAGCCTCACACAAGATTTTATCAAAGACTTTGGGTTTCCTTAAAAAGATATTTTAAAATGAAGAGTTTTTTCTGTCGGTTCCTTTTTGAAGGCGTAACGTGTGATGATCTCCAGGGCCCTCACTGGTGGAGGGGTATGTTAATACGTAGGGTTGTTTATTTTACTGCACACCGCAGGTAGAGGGCGCTAGAGCCACTGCCTGCCCGGTCTCGGTGTAGTGATGGCTGGATTGATTTTTAAAAAGAGAAAACATTAGCCAGGCCCAAAGTTGACTGCTTCTAATCCTTGTAAATAAATGATTGTCTCATGGTCTTTATTCCCTCAGACGGGGATTCTGACCGTGTCTTTATTAACCCAATACTATTCCTTATATTTGCCAAATAGTCAATGAGTGCTGTATTTATTCTGATGGTAATAATGCATCTGTTGATTGTGATGTACAACAATATGTCAGATAATTATTTCCTCTGAGGAACAATACTTGTAACGAAACCAATGCAGGGAAATCAATGGGTAAACTGTGCTTTTGGATGTTTGTTTTAAAAACAGATTTATATAGTTTTATGGGATTTTTTTTCCTCTCTATACACACACAGCATGTGTCTAACTCTCAAAGGAGAGGGCACACTCTTATTTACCTCATCCAACACTTCCTGTTTTGAATGGTTAAGCGTTCCGTAGGGCTACAAAGTGGTGTTGGTTGAAACAGAGAGCACATAAAAAGCAGCTTAGTTCCATTTGGCAAAACTCCGAGTTTATAGTTCTTTTTATTTTTTGCTAAACTGGCTGTGTCTAAATTAGTAAATACATTACAGACTGTTATGGGACTCTATATCTCAAGTGTCTTTGGCTGATGCACATTTTGCGATCAGTCGGCTTGTGCTCATAATCACCGTAATCTTGGAAAGAAAAATAAATGTGGCAATAATACTCTGTTATTTTATGCTCGTTTTATTTCAGTGATGATGTTGTATGTAAAATTGCTATGATGTACTAAATAGAAAATGCCCCCAAAGTCATTTGTGCTTCCAGTTCAGATCCTCTGTAGTCTAGGATCCTAATGCATGAAACCCTGTCAACTTGTCTTTTGTTTTGTTTTTTCTTGAATATTTTACACCAAGTGTACTTATGTCTGTAAACCATCACTGAAAACTAGATATGTTTTTGATGGGGAGGTCGGTGGTCTATTGTACAGTTCCGTCAAAAGAAGAAAAGCAGAACATCTTTGCTGTGATGTCCTGTGTTTATGACTTGCATAATGGCGCCACCTATCCCTGTGCAGCCAGTGCTTGACCTTGGGACGAACGTCAGCTGAAAACAGCATCTTTTGATCACTGTGTGGATTGTTTTCTATTTACTATATAAGATTGATCTATATCTAGATACAGTACACTGGATCAGTCAGTGATTTTGTGTTTTTCTCGCTAGGCTCTGTGTTCGTTCCAGTTTCCTGATGGTGTAGTGTGAGACATTACCTAGCAACGTGTTTTATGTTGCATTGACATTCAAACTCGGCGTTGACTGTGGTCGATGGATGCAAATTTTTGGTTAATTTTGAACCAAATTAACGAAAGGTACAGGCTAAGACGGTCTTTTAGAGGACACAAATCAAGATTGTTTATAGTTCTGCACACAGTAGCAATCTCTATTTTAATTGAAGCACCTGTTTTCTTCTTGTGTTCTTTTATTCAACACTTCTTGTGCTGTTAGTAGAAATTAAAACAATTGTTTCAGAGCAAAATTCAGTAACCTGTAACCTCCATTTATGACTTAAAATTAAGCTTCATCGGGCACTACATCATTAGAGAATTGAGCATGAAAGCATTAATTGACATGCCCAGAGTGAAGCCAGTAAACATAGATGTGTCGGGACAACTAAAATCATTAATTCTCATGTCAAATATTTTGCGTAACGCACAAAACCTGTACGAAAAACTGTAGTTGTACCACTCTGCCTGCAGGTGGCGCATGTTTGAGAGCTCTGTTGTTTCCTTTACCTGTAGATGGTGCAAAATAGCGTCTACATCCGAACTAGCGTTGTCAAATATATCAGTTTATCGATTTGTATTGATTCTGAATATTTAAAACGGTTTCAGTACTTATTTTCCGCAGTATTGATACACCAAAACCAGCTGCGCTTTCTTGCTTTCTCTTATTGTTAATGTTTACCACAATCATTCTGCTGTTCTCTGCTACTAATCAAGTAAAGGAATGTTATTATGTCATATCGTTTAACACAAATTTAACGCCCTGAGTGTCAATTTTCCCCAAGGTCGGTATTTTTCAAGGTGTTATATCGAAGTTAGCAACTCCAGTATCGTGACAACACAAGTCTGAACTGCTGTTTTCAGCTTCTGGCCTGAAACTGTTGGCACTGGCTTTTTGGGTGCTGCACATCAATGACACAGCGTCCTTGTTTGCTATTCAAAGTAGCTACAATACTCCTGAGGAAGAAAAAAAAATATTTAAAAGTCTATTGATTTTTAACGTTTTGTTTGTTATGTGGTGTTTTTGCTTTACTTTCTCTTTTTATATAAACATATATGTTTTTGTTAGGTGTTTTTGTATTGTCTTTGATCATGTATGGGATACATGCAACTGCAGTACCATGTCCTAACTGTATCTTGTATCATGCAATTGAAATAAATTGGGATTTAATGACATGTGGGGCTCTTTGCTTGACCTTGCTTGAGTCATTGAGCAGCTGCGGCAGCTTTAATGGGAGGCACACTGGTGCTGGGAGACAAAGAAACAATAGACAACAAAAGGAAGCACAGTTTGGTGGACGACTGGAGACGTCTTCCTCATCCTTTACCTCCTCCTTGATGCACACGTTCACACACACACATAACGTGATCACACTTTTCATTCGCCTTGTTGTTTTCACTGTCCCCTCATCGCCTCGGTCCTGCTGCTCATCAGTATTCCAGAGGAGTAGGAGATGTTGCGTAATGATCACATCGACACACTGGGGAGCAGCGTTGCGTAACAGCAGCAGCAGCCTCAAAGACCAGCGGGATGGGTGTGTGTGTGTGTGTGTGTGTGTGTGTGTGTGTGTGTGGAAAAGCGAGGAAGAGAGGGAGGGGCTCTGGGAATAGGGAGGGGGGATGAGGCGAGGAATGGATCAGGTGGTTGGAAGGATGGAGAGGAGGGAGGAGAAGGAAGGATGCTGAGGAGGGAAGAGCAGGGGGTGAAGGAGAAAGGGGGGTGCAAACAAGATGGCAAGGGGATGGACAGAGAAAGATGGAGAACAGCGATGCAGTTAAAAACGTGAGCGGAGGGAGGGAGGGAGGGAGATGGGATGCAGTGAGTGGGCGATGAAGACGTGGAGGAGAGCCAAGGAGGAGCCCAGCCATGCATGTTAATGTCACACCACTACATGTTACTATACAGAGCGCAGCCCAGCGTGTTCACATGAGCCAGCCAACCTTACAGCTGGCTGCATCTGACAGGCACACGAGCACAGGATGGACGGATGGACAGACAGACAGACAGACAGACAGAGCGCTGGATGATGAAATTTAAAGTAATATCTGCTGGGATGGGTCCAGCTGAGGTGGGTGGTGAGCAATCTGGCTCCTCACCATTTGAGAATTTGATCTATGCTTTGAATTATTGATCAAACATCACTTGAATTTGTTTACTGCAATAAGATCTCCGGCATTTCAATCTGAGGCTTCTCACAGGAACACAAGGATCTACTTTTAATGGCTTTGATCTGCAGTATGTTCAACAGTAACTGAGTATGACACACTAAGAGGTGAAAGGTATAGCTGGATGCAAGGGTGTAGGTTTTGTTTTAATATTGTGGGGGGCACATGAAAGGGGGGGTCCAGGGACAAACCCTTAGTGTCTTGCAGTCTGGTGTAGGTATGTTAGTTGGCTTTCGATACCCTGACCTTTAAGTAAAAAAAACAAAATGACAGGTAGTACAATTTTATTGTGTTGTGAAGTAAATATCTTGTTTTTTTTAAAAGTCTTATTTTCTGTTGGCTTCTCTGACAGACAGACAGCTAGCCCTGCCAACATGCGGAAACATGGTGCCCACTGCCCACCCTGTGGTCTCACTGGTTAGCTCAGGTTAGCCTTTGCTGCTCTGCACTGTGAACTAGCCAGGTTGGGTTGGAGGTAGCTAGTAGTGCTGCTCATTTGCAGTTACTTCTGGTGATGCCATCCCAATAGTGGGACAACATTGCTGCTGAAAGAGTAGCTACCCTGCAGTCTCCGTCAGTTAGCCCCTGGAGCATAAGTGGCTTCATTTTGAGCCGCAAAGCTCCTTTAGCATTGTTAACTGGGGATGCACGATATTGTTTTTTTTGCCAATATATGGACCTCACTTGCAGAGTGACTCTCTAGTCCTCCAACCACTCAGAACAAGATGCCATCTGCTACTCAGTCTTTAACACACTCACACACCAATGGAACAGCCATCAGGAGCAATTTGGGTTTCAGTATCTTGCTTAAGAATACTTTGAAATGCGGACTAGAGGAGCCTGGGATCAACCCGCTCTACCTCTGAGCCACAACCGCAACAACTCATCAGGCCGATAATCTATACCGATATTGATATGTCCACTTTTTCCCCACCTAATTTTATTGGTCATCAAGTCTCTTCTGTAGCGGAATTAACATCATATTATTTATGCATACTCTTATCGGCCCACCAGCAGATGGAGACATGAAATACAGTGCTTTCCAATATATATATAATATTCATTCATGGGGCGTCGGTGGCTTAGTGGTAGAGCAGGTGCCCCATGTACAAGGCTGTTGCTGCAGCGGCCAGGCTCGAGTCCAGCCTGTGGCCCTTTGCTGCATGTCTCTCCCTCTCTCCCTCTCTCTCTCCCCTTCACACTTCACTGTCCTGTCAATTAGAGGCCAACTTGGGACCCTTTGCTGCGTGTCATCCCCCTCTTTCTTTCTCCCACCTTCCCTGTCAATCTGCAGCTGTCTTATCAGTTAAGGCAAAAATACAAAAAAAAATATAAATAAATAAAAATCTTTAACGGGGGTTTGTGGCTCAAAATACAGAGGGTGCGCTGCTAGTTAGCTCCCACCCAACCCAGCTGGTGTACAGTGCAGAGGAGCCAAGGCTAACAGTGGAGAGCTGAGGGTGGGCAGTGGGCTCCGTGTTTCCACATGTTAACAGGGCTAACCAGCTGTCTGTGTTCCACCATGTACTGGTGGTGCACAGTGCAGTAAACTGAAGAGTAGCAAAAATAAACATACAAAATATTCTTGGCGGTTTATCAATTAGCAGTTAACTGTTGACATCCCTTTTCTGTTGATTCTTATGCACCAATTTATCCCCTTTCTGCATCAACCTATGGTGGAAAAGCCTCTAATTTCATCAAAAATAAAACTCCACTGCTAGTTTCATGTTCTTATAGACCAAATAACAACAATCACATCTTTAATGTACCAAATCTACCGCCACACGAGTGAAGCAAAACATATTCTGGCACCTAGAAAAGTCAATATTGGTGTCAGTGTACACTCTATATAAATATTTGCTCTGCTTTACCTCACACACTAAACATTTGGGGTCACCGTAGACCAGCAACTCCAGTGTTCTGCGAAGTAAAATGGAGTCTGTGGACTTTGATATAATGGCTTCAATTCCCTGTCCAAAAAGGCTCTCTGACAGCGAGGTGAAGCAGTGAAAATATTATAAATACAGTGTTCACTTAAACTGATATAGATTTTTTTGGTGGGCCTTTTTGTTGGTGGTTAAAAGCTAACTAACTGAGGCAGGGTTTGCTCAGCGCCATTTCTTTATTTATACATGATGTGAGGGTTTTTTTACCCAGAAGCTGGAGACAAATGTTCCCAATATTAAGGTGTGTATCGCCACCCCACCCCCCCAAAATCTAGACCCATGTCTTGATGTATCTATAACAGTAAGCTGAAAATCTGTGTCACAATAAAGGTCACACAGCTCCGCTCGCACACAAACGAGGATGACACAATTAGCTTATTTTCCATGCTTATTTTTTGCCAATCTGTTCTTTTTTATTACAAACTTAAAAAAGAATCTGATACAATAAGAAACTGCAGTAGTAACTCCCCATTCCCGAGGGGCAGCACAGAAAACAGGTCATTGCATTTCAGTAGTGAAAGATTCATTACACATCTACAGGGTGTACAGATCAGATACAAAATAGGAAAAAAATAATAAAATACAGGCAGGAAAGAAAGCACTATATTTATACATCATCTGAACTTTTAATTATATCTATCTGACTCTTAAATGTTAAATTTTACATAGAAAATAAACTTCTTTTATGACAATGAAATATTCCAAAGTGCAAAATAAAACGCACACGTTGATATAAGCAAAGGACATCAGAATACAAAATTCTTGTTTTTCCTCTTCGTCAGTGTTCAACCCTGATTGTAGAGTAGCCTGTGTTGAGAGTTGATGTTTCAAGCACTATCTGATGCCTTCTTTTCAAGTGTAAAACACAGACTGGCATTCACTCTTAAAAGATGTGAGGGCAAAACAGCTTTTACGGTAATTGCTCACATCCTCAGATCTCTCACCTCGAGATCTTGATTTGTATGCAGAAGAAATTTAATAACTCACCTCGTTTGCTCTGAATAATCTGACAGATGTGGGGAAAGAAAAAAGGAGTCACTTGGACAATTTGGACATGCACGTGACTAAAAATCTCTACACACTCACAGACACACAAATGAACAGGTGCCTCATGTATTTTCCGCAGGCCATCTCAACCAGGGTTGACGAACATCAGATCACATTCACAGCACATTCATTTCCTTCGTCCCTTCTGAACCTGCCGTAACACTGTCGTCCTATTGAGGAGATATACTATAATTATTTTTTTTTTCCGGGTGCAGAGAGGTAGAAACCCCTTAAATCCTTCAGGGTAATTTAAATTATGGCATTACATTGCACTGGAGAAGGGTGAGCATCTGTGCAAGCAAAGACAGTCTGGGATATGGCTATAGTATCAGGACCAAAGGACCAGGCTGATGGGGAGGAGAGGACAAAAAAAAATGGGGTGAGGAAAGTAACATCTGATGGAATATATAATACAAGGGAGGTAAAATAACATTTTGTTCATATAAATCTGGGGTCAGGTACTGTAGTCGCACACAGGCGAATATAGGAGTGTTAGTGTTGATGTGAAATTATTTAAAAGGTCCACTGTGTCGGATTTAGGGGGATATATTTGCAGAAGTATGTTTTCTTTAGTACAGTGGCTCCTAACTGGTGGGTCGTTGGTCCATTCTGAATGGCCTGCAAGTGACTCACGAACTTGTCAAATTTGTTAAAAAAAAAAAAAAAAAAAACTTTATTCTGAATTACAGTGGATTTCTGGCATATCTGAAGTGCTGGACGACATGGCCAAACGCAAGTATGACGCTGAATGTATTAAACTGTGTGGACCTTGAGCCAGTTGGGAACCACTGCTTTAGTGTATAATCACCTGAAAATAAGAATTGTTTTTGTTAGCTTAGAATGAGCCATTTATATCTACATAAGGAGCGGGTCTTTGTTTTGCAGTAACCCAGAGCGGTCAAATCAAACACCGGCTCTAGATGAGGCCATTCACATATCTGTGTCGTCCACTGTAGTTAGAAGCTACTTCGCGACACAAGCGTTGGAAAGACACTGATTTTATTTTATCTTTCACATTAAACTGCTTCACTTGATGTTTTTATTAGTTTAAACTTATCTAGTTTGGCCCCTAGGAAAAACCTCTGAATGTCAGGATCTTAAGTTATCAGAGAAAAAAGGTGACATGCCAAACAGCATTGGAGAAACACTGATCTGTAAAGTGAAACTGCTTTATTCAGTGTGTTTACTGGTTTAAACCACTGTGTCCCTTAGTTTTCGAGAGGAAAAGACCTCTATGTATAATTTGGCTTCTGGTTAAAACCTCCTAAACATCTGGATGTTAAGTTATCAGTGAAAAAAGGTGAGCACACATTCGCAGGTGCTGGGCTAGCAGCCAGTCTCCAACATGCCAAACAGCATTGGAGAAACACTAATTTGTAACCTGAAACTGCTTTATTCAGTGTTTTGATCTGTTTAAATCACCTGGTCCGCTTGTTTTAGAGAGGAAGAGACCTCTGTGGATAATTCTGCTCCTGGTAAAAACCTCCTAAACGTCTGGATCAGAAATTAGGTGAGCAAACAGTAAGTTATCAGAGACAAAAACTGAGCCACATTGGCAGGTGTTGGGCTCATGGCCCCTCTCCGAGATGCCAAACAGCGACTGAGAAACACTGACTGTGTATGTGAAACTGCTCAGTGTTTTTACTGGTTTTAATTTGGCTCCTGATAAAAACCTCCTGAACAACAAATACTTAAGAAATTCTAACTGGGAAAAGTTTCAGCTGGTTGCAATCCTCCCCAGTAGATGCTACTAAATCCCCTTAAATCTTACGCGCTGTTCCTTTAAAAAAAAACAAAGAGGGGAAAAAACTGGGTGATGGACAATTTCAGGGGCAAAAATAAGCGGGGCGATGACACAATATGCAGTGAATTCACATAAAACGGGGAGACGGACATTCTATGCACTCTAAATTAAATCTGAAATGTGGAGATTTTTGGTTTAAATGTACTGCCTATGGGAGTAGTGTTGTCAGACTGCCCTGGGAGCACAGAGAGAGAAAAGTGATATCAGCCATCTTTTCCTACACAATCCCACTGTAAACATTCACATCTTGAACTTCAACTCCAACTTGAAGAATGAATACATTTACCCGTCTTATTAGACAAATGCTGTACAAGGTACAATACACATTCAATACTTTTTATTCTGTACATCTTTTTATTTTTGTCTCGGTTTGCATATATTCACGTTATTTTCTGAAAAAATAACCTCAGCATGTAAGAAACTAAACAAAGAATCTGAACATAAGAACTTTGTATATACATATTCCTGGACTCGTCATGTCTTACTCATACAAATGTTAAGTGATCATTTTGCAAAAACAAAAATATAGAAATATTGGAAATAAATTACAAAACAAGAAAATTATAAATGCATCTTTCCCTCACAATCGTAACATTTACAGAGATGTGTACCTCCCCACCCCGTTCCCTTGAAAAGAAACAAAAAAAAAAAAAATGAAATAAAATCTTGCATGCATATGACAAGCTGTCACATTGCAAAAACCAGCGTGAGCACAAGTCAAGGGTCCTCGGGTCGTCTTATACAAAGACATTTATGGGTACTTGCAAACATTCAAATAAACGGACGGGACTAACAGCATCTCCTCACCAGCGCGATGCATTTGAATACAAATTAAGCTCCTGTTTGAATCTCTAAAGCATTTCTTGACAGCTGAATTAATTGTTACCAAACAGAGGGCGAAAGAATGGCGTATCGCTCGTGTCTGTGGGCGACACGCAGCATCAGGAGCCCAGTAATAAAGTGCCGGACAGCTCAAACGGACATCTGAGAGTTACCCTTCCCTGTAGTGACTAACCAACAATCACATGGACCCAGCTGGTAAACAAACCATTGTTAGGGACGAGAGACTTCCACAGATCTGACACGCTATCCAATAAAGCCACAAAAGCCACACACCACATTCATCTTTGTCCACGTAACTGCGGAAAAACACAACCTGAACTGTATCACTCTGGTTTTCCTTTGTTAACAGCCAGAAGAGAAAAGATCAGTGAAGAATTTCAAGAGGAGGGAGAGAACAGTGTGAGCCTTTGGCTTCAATACCATTTAAGCTCACCAGAAACGTGTTCTGGGTTTTAAAGTGTCGCTCTCTAAGCCAATACAGCCTGGACGCCACCAAGGCAACACAATCCTCTAACTGCTTCGCTCTCCCTTTCCTTTGGTCTTCCCCTCTCTCGCATCTCTCCTCTCTCCTCCCCATGCAGAGGAAAACCTCTCCTTCATAGTCAAAGTCATGCTAAGCCATTTATCACAATCCCTGCTGCATCCCCTACGCCTCTTCACCTTCACACACTGCTGACTGGAATTGTGTGCATGTGCACGTTTCTGCATGTGTGCGTCCATTTGAATTCATGTATGAGATCATAACTTACATCCCAGTGTGTATAATTGAGGTATCAGTGCAGTGTTATTGTCTTAAAATGCAAAAAAATTGACTTGCTTTTCACATTCCCCAAGGTTTCCCTGACCTTCCAGCTGCAGCTTCCCCTGACAGATACAATACATTCTACTACATCACTTCCTTACCACCCCAATGCTCCCCTTCTGCTCCCTCCGCTGCTCCCACTTCATTTAAACCCGTGTCATGTACGTATTCCAGCTGACGATAAACTGCTTCCAATATGCGCCCTGTGACAACAACAGAGTCAAATTGTGCCCGCGCACGAGTGCGTTTCAAGGGTAACGGGGCCCACCGTACAAACAATGAGTCTCTCCATCACGCTGAGCCACAACAAAACAGAACAGGACTACACACACAGAGACAGCAGAGCCCCCCTCTCTGTATTTGTGGCAAGTAGGGCAGAGCAGATTGCAGAGCAAAGTGCTGAGCTTTCCACAGCCGTCGTTCCCTGCAGGACTTGGCGAGGTCCTTTTTCACAGCATGACAGTGCAGTGCAAAAACAGAGCTATACTAGAGCCGGGTCCATTAAACTACAAGTCAAGGGGAAAAAAGCCCCTCACATTAACATTCAATGCTAAGTAATAAACATAAAGAGATTGGCAACGACTCAAGGTAGAAAGGAACTCACCCCCACCCCACCCACTACTGTCATCAGAGCCAACACACAGAACGTGATGAGTAACGGCAACGGACAAAAGGGCAGGGTGGGGTTGGAGGAACAAAACAAATCACATGAATTATTCAGTGGACGTGGTATTTTAAATCTTTGTAGTAAAACTAATTCTTAACTTGTATTAGTATTAGAACAATTTGTTAGAAAAACTGAAAATATCTGGAGCATCATTGTCCAAAACCCACCTCCTCTGACAATTCTTATTGTTACAAATGAAGGCTTAGTTGGCCAGCACAACAGGCTGGAAGGACTGGCTAGGATATTGCAGGTTGTAGCTTCCTAAACCCTCGACAAACGGCGGCTTCTCCATGTAGGAGATTCCTCCGTTGCTGCCAATGATGCCCACGCTCTGGGCGGGGGGAGGGCTGGAGAAGGGGTCAAAGGACGGGTGGGTGTTGACAGTGTGGGGGGGTTGAAATGGGCTGGCATGGGGCTGCATGGGCTGGGTGTCAGCATCAAAGTAAAGCGGGCCTGGGGATCCTGGGTAGACAAACTCTTTGGCGTTGGGAGAGAGCTGGCTGGCGATGGGACCTCCAAGGGAGTGCAAGGAGAGAGACAGGGGCTTGTGCTTGAGCAGCTCTGGAGCTGAGATGGTGGTGGGAGAGCGCGTGAGCATCCTCTGGGCAGGTGGTATGACGACTCCAGAGCTAGCTGCCGACCCGGCCCCACTGCACTTCTTCATCTTGGTCGAGCCGAATTTAGTGGCGGCGAAGCTGGCGGTGGTGAAGGTGATGGGCTGAGGACGGGCGGTGGGAAGTGCGGAGGGTGGCTGCTGAGTGGAGAGGTAGGGCAGCCCGCCGCTAGGAGGTGAAGGGGTAGAGGTGTTTGAGGAGTGGGCAGCAGGGTCAGTGGGTGTGCTGGAGCTGGGGTAGCTGAAGAGGCCGGGGCAGGACTGGGCAGATAGAGGTGTGGGAGAGCTGGAGAGCGAAGGCATGAGGGCGGGAGATGCCTGGCTTCCTATTGGGACAAACACCTGAGCTTCTGGGTTAAAGCCCAGACTCTTGGCCTCCTCTGCCTCTGCATCTCCTTTACCCTCTCTGATCACCCCCTCAGCCCTCTCGCTGTCACAGCCGAGGCCTGGGGGGTCCTCCAGGTAGAGAACCTTCACCGCCCCCTTCTCTCCAATCTGGTAGGAAACCTCGTAAGGGTCAATCCAAACACTGAGCTCCGCAGGAACATTTGCACGCACTTCCTCCGTGTCCAGTCCGCTTCTCTTGGCGGCCAACTCCACCACGGGGTCCCTCGGTGCTCCCAGGTGAATGCAGCGGAAGGCGGAGCCCCTGAGAGGGGCCTCAGGGTACCAGTGACCCTCAAAACGAGACATCAGTATCCTCTCCAGCTCCTCGCCGAACAGGTCAGCTCGACGCCGAGGCAGCTTGTTGTACAGGTAGGACACGATGAAGTTGAGGGCGACCTTCACTTCTAGATGCATGGCTGCACTGGGTTAGCGCCGTTGTGGGAGCAAAGTGATCAAGATGATGCTGAAAGTGAGGCAATGCAACTGTAACAAGGAGTTTTTCCCTCTGGCTTATTGTAAAGTGTATGATTCTTTTAGTGTCACCATGGTAAAGGCACCTTGAAGGCGGGGGCAGCAGGTTGCAGGCTGTCTTTTGTTATCACAAATACGTAGCAATGTTTTCAGGTCCCAACTGTGAAAAAGAAAACAGAAGAAAGGAGTCATTTTAAGAAAGAACCAGAGGAATATTAAAGGGGAGATCAAGGGAGATGAATTAAAAATAAAGACGGGGGAGGATGCTGTTACCCAGCTGTAAACAATTAATTACAGTTATAGTTTTTGGACATAGAAAGCCAGATTGTTGAACGGGGGCTGGAGTGTGCCACCAGAATTAACAGACTCTCTCAGTAATTAATTACAGCTCATTATTTTCGATATTAATGAAAAATATGTGTTTAATTTTTGTCTAAACACCAACATCAGCACTAAAATATACTGAAATATATATTGTTTTCTGCCAATTTTTTGAACAATCGCAATATTTCAACTTCACACAACCTCCATCACAGTAAAGAAACGCTATTAAATGAGGTACTTTTGCTCAAAATAAATGAACAGAGATCGTGGTGGTTTAGTAAATGTATCAATTGAAGAAGTATTTCACTGTTAGAAGATGATATCCCCATAAAACAGGGCTATCTATGCAGTAGAAAGACAAATACTTTTGAAATCAGTGCTATGTGACAAGAGAAAACAGAGGCTGTGGTATTCACTTTCCCTTTAGAGGTAGAAAACCTACAACTACCAGAAAGCACTGCACCTCACAGGTTCAATAAAAGCTCCGGGCTGGTGGGTGATGTGATGCTAGCTTTGCTGTTTTTTGGCAGGAAACAATAGTGAGTCTGGCTCTGGCCGATAACAAACAATCTCAAATTACAGTTAAATGGTGAAATAAAATATGTTTCTGAAAAAAATTAAGGCAAGAATAGTAACAAAATCTTTGTTTATATTTGTTCAGCACTGCTTAGTTTTACAGTTTTATTTCAGTATTTTCAGCTTCTGATTTTACAATCCAGCTAACAATATTCTGCCCACTTCCTGTTCACAAATTCTCATGTTACAGCCATACAGTGCACTAAAATATGTGTGACAACATTTTAGGCAAGAAATAGGCAAAACAGTAACATAATCCTGATTTATATTTGATCACTGTTGCCTAGTTTTACAGTCAGTACGTTTACATGCACAGCTTAATTGAGCTATGCTCAAAATTCGATTTTGGCGTCTAATCGGACTTCTCTCCTTGTCCCAGTTTACAAGCAACTGAGAAAATCGAATTACTGACTGGAACGTGTCCTCCTCCTCAACACTAGGTGGCGATATGCGTCGTTTCAGCGGGTTAATACGGCCCCCTTTCCGGTTAACCTATTACATCACTTAATAATAAACAACTGGAGTCAGGCGGCAGACCGGCATTTTCGAACAACAGCAAGATGGATAATCGTACAGCTTTGTTCATCTCATACGTAAGCACGCGTTACTGATTGTGCAGATAAGGTGCACACTATCCCTCGTGGTCATGGTGATTTCGAGAGGCAGACAAGAACGCCGTATTCTGTTGGAGGGCTACAACAATAGCATGTCTTGTCTGTTCCGGGGTCATACGCCAGCACGGGGGGTGTGGAGCATGCGCACATGCATTGTCTAGTTTAACTTCGATTACAGTGTATACATGCCAGAGAAAATCGAATTCCAATCGCATTATCTGGGTGTCTTAATCAGAATTGGAGAACTCCGATATTAGTCTGAGTAACGCGTTTACATGCAATTCAGTTGTCCAGTTATAGTCGGATTAAGGCAGTAATTCGTTTTTTTCAAGTGTCATGTAAACAAGTGTGACTGGAGTCTGGTCTGAGTTCTCTCTTGATCCACTTCCATTTTCTTTGACATATTATAGTTAAACAGTAAACTAAAGTATGTTTCTGAAGACATTTTGGGTGAAAAATAGGCAATACAGTAACAGAATCTTGGTTCTTATTTGATCATCACTACCTGGTTTTACAGTTTGATCATGAATTTGGTCTAAATTTAAGAGAGATATAGTCATATTACAGTTAAACGGTTAGCTAAAATAGGTTTATGAAAACATTTTATACAAGAAATAAGCAATACAGTAACAGAACCTTGGTTTGTACTAGATCAGCACTGCTTAGTTTTACCATCTTATCCCAGTTTTTTAAGCCTCTGTTTATACAAAAAAGCAAACTCTTGAATTACAGCCAAACAGTGCACTAAAATATGTCTCTGAAGACATTTTAGGCTAGAACTAAGCAATACAGTCACAGAATCTTGGTTTATATTTGATAAGCACTGCCTTGTTTTACAGTGTGAACAGAGTCTGAGGGGCGGGTCTCTCTCTTGATCCGCTTTTATATTCTGTTGTACTGCAGATAAACAGTATGCATAAATGTTTCTAAAAACATTTAAGAGGAGAAATAGGCAACACAGTGACAGAATCTTGGTTTATATTTGACCAGCGTTATTTTACAGTTAGATTTGAGTCTGAGGTGCAGGTCTCTTGCTTGATCCACTTCTTTACTCCTTGTTGTATTGCAGTTAAACTATAAACCTAAGTGTTTCTGAAAACATTTAAGGCGGAAAATAGGCGATGCAGTGACAAAATCTTGGTTCATATTGGATCAGCACTGTTAGGTTTAACAGTCTGATCTGATTTTGGTCTGCGTTTGAGAGAGAAAGAAAGAGGGGCAGGTCTCTCGCTTGATCCACTTCTATACTCCTTGTTGTATTGTAGTTAAACCATAAACTAAAATGTTTCTGAAAACGTTTAAGGCGGGAAATAGGCAACACAGTAACAGAATCTTGGTTCATATTTGATCAGCACTGTTAGGTTTAACAGTCTGATCTGAATTTGGTCTGCGCTTGAGAGAGAAAGAAAGAGGGGTGGGTCTCTCTCTCTTGATCCGCTTCTATATTCTGTGTCCATGGTGGTGGGCCTACAAAAATGAGGCAGTACAAACAGTAATTCGAGCTAGGTAAGGAGGGGGAGATTGGAGATCTGAGCAGTGGTAGGATGGAGGAAAGTTGACCACATTTGATTTCCACATATACCACCCACGTTGTTATGATACAGAGCTGGCTGAAAATCAGCAAAGCACCCCTTTAAGTGAACGCTTCATTGATTTACATAATTATTTGAGTGGCACACTCCAGCCTCCATATAGGTCACTGCTCTAATGAAAGCAAGAAAAATACACGCCTGCATGAGAGCAGTAGAAGAGCCACAGCTTAATACATTATGTACTGAGACATTTTTATATTGACCTGTCAGGGCAAACATTGATTCAAATAAAAAAAAAACTGGGCAATGTGTTGTGAAATGTTTCTGAAGCTGTCAAAAATAGATTCAAAGAGCTTGGGGAAACGGTGTGAAAAGCTTCCATTATGGCTTTAGGAATGGAATTATACAGGATAGCAAAAATACAGTATCTGTGATGAGCGGAAAACATCCCAGTTTCACCTAATCTACTTACTGGGAGTTCAGCAAATTCATTTACACGACCACTATTCTTATTCAGTAGCAAACACCACTGATACACGTTTTATATTTTGGTTTTATCGGCTGCAGGATCTACTGATGGATGTAACAGATGCTGTGTTGTGGGCCTCATAAATCCTTTATAATCTGAATCCGATCCCACGAAGTGCCTCCTGCCTAATGCTTCAGCACAGTCACACAGCATCCATTCATCACCGGGCAGAGTCAAACTGAATGAAAGATTACATGCAAAAAAAACACACACAACAACACCACAGAAACACAGAGAGAAGAGGTGTAAAATGGCAGGACAGTTAGTCGACTTCACAGAACAGCATTTCCCACCATGCAGCGCGTGCGATCACCCCCTCCCCTCCCCCTTTATACACACACACAAACAATTCACTAACATTCACTTCCCTGCCAGATGGGGATTCGGCAGCTAAGATTAGAAAGACGCCTCTGATTAAAGACAATTCTAATGTTATTACAGATAAAGCTGCACAGGCTGGATGCAGGGCTGCCGGAGTGACAGTTCAAGATTTACATTTCCCCCTATCGCACGAAAAAGGTGACATTGAAGGATAAGATGGGGGGTTGGTTAGAATGGGCTATAAATAGGGCCCCATTTTGCATCATCTATGGTGCAAATTCCTCTCCAGCACCTGAGTTATTAAACACGAGATGAAATGTAGGAAAGGATCTTTTGAGCGCATGAGAATCCACCGGTCCACCTGCAACAGCAAACATCACTGAAAACCTTGAATACACACACAGCTAAGCTACCTCCAGCTTCTTCTGCATTTCCTACCTCTCATTATAAAAAAAAAAGCAACAGCAATAAACACAATGTCATCCAATGATATCAGGGGAATAGCTCAGTTAATATGTGCAGATGTGTTGCTTCAGGAGTGCAAGAAATGGTCCTAATCTTAAACCACAGCTTGCAGTTTTAATAAAAACACCCAGATCTTTCACGTCCATAAATCCCCTGCCTGTGTTCATATATTTATTCCTCACCTGCAGGTTTGTCACACAGCTTCAAGGCTTCATTTTGTGCAGGCCTGTTGTTGCGGGTCAGAGCAGCAGCAGGTCCTATAGTGCTATTTTTGTTTACATGGACTCATTATCAGAGCTGCAAATGTGTGGCACCGTGTGCTGCAAAGCATCCACCACATGCCAGGTTTCATCTATTGAGCACCACATCTAGTGAGCTTACAGGCAGCACAAGCTAATGCACATTATATGTAACAGACATATGAAAGCAGAAGCACCTTTAGAAATGTTATGAGGGAGGGTTTATGGAGGCCATGGACATAAAGCCTCAGCACAATTTTCCTTTTTGCTGAATGCTTCTCACTTCTCCCTGTGTAACTGTAAATATACTGATATTCATGGAGCTTTTTGCATGCTGCACAACAACGGAGGTAAACATGCAAGAGGTGGCGTGAGATTGGAGAAATATCACCCAGGTTTGCATGTGTGATGACAAGCTCAGATAATAAGGGAGCAGGGTCTACCTGGGGATTACTGCCATATGTCAGTCAAAAGGCACTGGAGCAGAAAGGACACTGGTTTAGCTGACATGCAAGTGAAGAATCCCCCCTCATGCCAAATTGTCGCTGTAAATTAAATTATAAGGCTAATTAAGTGGTGAACAGCCTATCGACCGAGTGTGTGCTCACTGTGCAACGAAGAAGAGTCCCTCCTCAGCATAAACAACCCCATCACACAGCATATACAGAGAAACATGACAGCTGAGCAGAATTTAAGGGGCACCTCATCTGATATATAATGGCCTGAGAGAAAAACAAAAGTCTGTATTTAATGGCTGAACCTGTGCTCATTCATTATAGTGAGCGCGTTTTGATGGACATCCAGGACAAACAGCAACACACAGCAACATGCTGTTGTCAATGCACACGCCTTATACGGATTGTTAAATAAAATGAAGCCCTTCAAAGCACCGGCTGACATTTAATTACTCACCTATCGTCTCTGATGCTCCAGCTTGACTTGTACTCCTGCGTTTCTGTTTTTATTCCCTTGTGTTGTCTCGGATTGCAAGGCGGATTTATCGAGTCGTTGCTGCAGATATTCACCACTAGATTTATTTCACCTTGGTGTTGTTGGTATTTTTTAACTGCTGCCCCAATTCTCACACAGCCATAGGATTTTCCCAGTTAGTCTTCAGCTGACAGTTTGCATGGAGGGTCCAGAGAAACTTTACTGTTTGACAACCCGGCGTATTTATACAGTGTGACTCGCCCATACGCCCGTGACGGCAGGGACTACTTTCTTTATATTATCGTAGCTGCTGTTTTATTATTTTAAATAACGGTGTCTATGCACCTGCTCACCTGTCTGCAAATCAATTAATACCATCTCTGTACTTATTATCTATATTTATATTAACCTGCAGCTTGATTTTGAAAAACATATAAAAAGATAAACATGATATTTTTAATTTTTAAGACAATATGTGTATTTGTAGTCATTTTAGAAAAGCAGCGACGCCAAAAACTGAAAATACAACGTTTTTCAGTCCGTGTTTACCTAACAGGCTCTAGTTTAATCGGCGGAGGGATATTTGTAGTTTTCTACGGTGCTGAGCAATTTGCTAAAAATATAAGCGGTGATAGCAACAGAGTCTCTATTGGCTGAGAGGGGGGAGGACCCACACAGTATTGGGCTGCAGTCTCCATTTAACAGCTGAAGAAACCTGGCTTGTACTAGGGGCTTCTGGGAAATGATGTTCTTCTTTATCACTCAATGATGTGCGGTAATGAGAGTGTTAAATAATAAAACGTGCTTTGGCTTTTTGTTGACTCTGGGTTTCTATTCTATTCTATTGTATTCTATTCTATTATATTATAGAATTTATGGTGTCTAATCAGTTGGACTATGGAAATGGACTTTGTATAAACAAAATGAATCAATTAAAATTATATGAATTAAAATCCACACATTCCCAAATGTTCTTTATTTAATTTCTTTTTTTAATTTTACATGAACACATTTAGTTACCATATTTTGCAGGCATGCCTCCTATCTTTACTTTATCACTTGACTCTTTGATTTTAGAGCTCACATGAAGGGCTTTTAACCAAAACTAAAGTATGAGTTTGCATTTAAAAATATTATTTGTAAAGATGAAAAACACATGGGAAAAAAAAGACTAATTTCCGGTGCAGTACAGTTAGTGACGCTAACATCAACTTAAGGCATTTGAAATACATAATCATGCATTTGTTTTTGATTTTTTTAAAATTTCGAAGTACTGGATTTCTGATAGAAAATATTTTTAACATAAAATGGGGTTGAAAATGACATTAAAGGAATGGACAGTACAGAGTGAGCCTATAAACATGCTGTTCACTTCAATAATGTCCTCCAGCCAAGGCTATTTTATGATTTTTTTTTTAACTTGAGTGTCTAATATTGCATTAAAAATACAAAAATGTACCAATTTATTATATTTCTATCATATCATATGTGATATTATGTTATGTTTCATGGACATCGTTTAGTTCCAGTGGTGAAAAAAGTATTGAGAATTTTTACTTAAGAAAAGTAGCAATACTAAATTACAAAAATACTGAATATTAGCAGTAGATTTTCTCCAAAATTATCCCATTCTAAAGTATTTGTATCATTTTTGATGCATCACTGTGTAAGCAATATTTTGATGCTGTGTTGCTGGGGTAAAGCTATAGTTGTAGTTTTACGTCCTGGCTACTTTGTATATAGCTATCTATTTTAATCAGTACAATGTTGGATAAATGGGCAAATCTACGTAGGCCTATATATGAAATCTGAAACTTAAAAGTACCTGTCAAATAAAGGTAGATATGTAAAAGGACATTTTTTCATTTGTCCCTAAAATGAAGTGGAGTTGAAGTAGACTTTTTGGTAGCTCAAAATGGAACAACCCAAATCAAGTACAAATACTTAAAAATTGTACTTAATTACAGTACTTAAGTAAATGCTTGTTACTTTCTACCATTGCCTAGTTTATGCCTATAACAACAAGATAAAGTTTATATGAAATAAATGTGTTATCAAGATATGATGTAGCAACTGGCACATAGAAGTCGTGTAGAAACTTCTTTTTCAAAGATGTCAATAGAGAGTTCAGAGAAGGACTGTATGAAGAAAAAGAATAACTGCTTTGTTTGTCTCATTAATTTAAATAGATTACTACTACTACTATTAATAATAATAATAATAATAATAAAATCGTTTATTATTTTTTTTAATTCAGTAATATCTTATTTATAAAATATTAACATTTACTTATTGAATTTAATTTAATTAATTTTTTTAACCCAATAATTAAATAACGGACTCCATAAACCGGTGACGTCACACGAGGCCGACACTCATCTTTGTCAGTGAACAAAATGGCGTCTTACTGTTTGACAGTCACTAGGCTGCAGGTAAGAAAACGTTATTTTTCCTTCGCAGAGTTTTTAAATGCCTTGCTATCTATTACACATGTGACAATAGATATCTGTTAACGTTTAGTACAGCCGGTATTGCTCCAGCTTGACCGACAGCCGGTAAATGTAGAGAAGAGTACGCACCGAGCCGCCGTTCGTCAGGTCACCGTGTCCTCGTTTGACTCATGACAGCGACGCATCGTAACGGTTATAAACCAAATCTGACTGTACAGATACCAGTATTATGTTATTATAATGTTAATAGCAGCATCAAGTTTAGTCAGTATCAACTGAATAGTGGATGCTAACGGTCCCAGGTGGCTTGATGTTTGCAAGGTGATCGCAAGGTTACGGAGTTTTCGTCATACGCTCTTTATAATAGTTCACTCCTGACAGCTGGGGCTGATGCTGAGCGCTGTGTTTCTGGGCCTCTGTTGGTTAGTGGATGAAATCAAATAGTACATGCTTATTTTGAATTACACAGGGCCCTCCATAAGCAATTTTTTACTAAAGGATGTTAACATAAATCAGCCTGCTGCTCATAAAGTAACCTGCGCCCTACACTCTATGTCATGTGTTGTAAATGATGAATACATGAGTTTCTGTTGTCTGCTGGGTGAGGTTAGGGCTGGGCAATATGGACAAACTCAAATACCATGATCATTTTAACCAAATACCTTGAATTATTATTAGGATATTGTATGATTGACTATGGTGCTTTCTCGAAATATATACACAATAAGATTTTTGATAAATGTTTATCAGCAACGTGGATATAATGACAAAATGGGTAAAGGCAAACAATGCAGCAGCTAGAACAGTCTGGCAAATTCAGAAAATTACATAATTTTATTGTCCTACAAACCAGGACAGGACAGCACTTAGGATACAAGTGGGTTGGACATCATTCACCGTTGGCACTGGTGTATTTTTATCCATAAAGCAATATTGGGCAAATGTCTGGCCTACCTCTGGTTACCAGCTACGCCCTCCAAGTGGCTGCTTTTTAATGTACCGCAGATTTTAACTGATCTGGGGAAAACTGCATTCTCCTACGATGCACCTTGGACATGGAATACTCTTTAAAAGGATCTTAAATTAGAAATGCTTATATCCATTGATGAATTTAAGGGCGTGACGTCACAAAGAATGTGGTGACAGAGACATGCGCTTGTTTCTCTTGAGAGGCCGCTATGTTTGAATAGTTGTTGTTTTATTGTGGATTTTTGCATTATGTGTTGTATTTGTTGCATTTTAAATGTGTTTTGATTGGCTGCCATCTTGGCCAGGTCTCTCTTGCAAAGACATTTTCAGTCTCAATGGAACTTCCTGGTCAAATAAAGGTTAAATAAAATATAAAAATAATAACAATATCCAAAATCTAAGATGATATTCAATCTCATATTACAATATTGAAATAATATCAAGATAATGCTCAGCCCTAGGTGCAGTCTTGCTATTCGTGGTGCTTCGTCAATTTATTATCTCAATATTTGCATTGATATTTGAGAACATAAATCAAAAACTATTCTCACAGATGATGTCATCACACATAAACGTTCACTTATGTCAACAAGCATTATTCCCACAAATAAATATGGTATGGTAAGTGGTATAAGGAGAAAAATACAGGGAGAATATCAGAACATACCTATTACAAAATTACACAATAAGAAAATAAGTGGAAATAAGACAAAAATGGTTGCCAGAGTAATGTGCTTTGATTTTTAGATGTGCCGTTTACCTCCATTTGCCAATGTTTATGAGATGTCTTTTTCCATTTGAAGAGAACTAGTTGATATTTAAGCAGTACAGGAAAGGCCATCAGTCTCACTTATTGCACGTTTAGTTTATTATATAAACATGAGGGAGGCTAGATAGCATAGCATTGCATTGATTTACAACATAATATAAAACCCATGCAATCAAACTAATTATTGCACCTGTTATTGTCAAAAGAACTGGCTCAAACACTGAGCCTGCTGCCCAATAGTGTGTCAGTGTGTTCTAGTGTGGCCACAAGAGTTCTGTGAGTGTTTTAAACATATCTGAGTATAGTTTTGATGATGAGATAGCCTGGGAACCAACCCGATTAGATTGAGAGTCTCTGCATTTAGGCTTAACATTAGGTATTCCGTAAATTGCAAGGGCTAATGACATCCCAAAATGTCTATTTCTGCTAATGAAATACCAGTGAATGACCAAATTGGCCTTATTCTGCCTATTCTTGACCACTGTTCAATGCTGGCCACCAAAAACCCACATATCCTGGAGCAATGGGAAAAGGCATCAGAGCAAATCTTCCACTGCTGCTGCCAGTTTATTTACACTGATTATGTTTGTAGTAAATGATGCTCTTCTAAACTACTTTGCCTGTACCTCTAGTGCTCATAGTTTAAAGTGTAGCATATCAGACTGATAGTAACAGCCTTGTGGGCGAGGCTTACCCTGAAATATGAGCTGGATAAACTCTAACCCACTTTTCTCTGAACATTGTGATTTTCTGCTGAATATCAACACTAAGGGTGAGATCTAAAGGAAGTGAACATGGCGTCCCTCATATTTTGGCTTGGATCACTCACTCTTTAAGCAGTGTTCTGATTTAATTTCTAATATTCAGTGTTATATTGGGTTTCTGCCAGAATGTTGATGCAGTAGTTGTATATTATCTATTTTACTCCTCAATAAAATTTTACATCACACACTTGAAGTACATTAAAGTTATTAAAAGAGAGGTCTTAAAATGGTTTACACAGTGTCTACAAATAGATTAATGTCAGTTTGCTGTTGCTGGAGAAGAAAGATTTGGATAATATTTTGACAGCCTGTTTTCATTACCAGCATGAACATAATCCTGACATTTAAATTAAGTATTGACAAGACAGCACTGAAAAATCCCCCAAAAATGTTGTCAATCCAAAAACAATGTAACAATGACTGTTCATTTAAAAATGCCGTGTTCAGCTCCAATACTGATTTGTAGAGTGGTTCGAGACATTCCAAGTTCTCTTGCTGATCTGATCAATGTCTAACCAAACTGACGGAGCCTGTTTGTGACCCAAATGGAGGATTCCTCTGCGTCTCTGTAGGCCACATTGTTACTGGTGCGACTTGCCAGATTATGTTTTAACTATCCTCACATGTGGTTCCATTCTTGCATAATTTAGTGACCTCTCTTTTCTCTGCGTATTTATTATATAACTAAAATCGTAATATGTTAGTCCTAAATTGTACATTAAAACTTTGTTGTTAATTCTCAACACTGTCCTCTGTTTCCTCTGGTCTAGCTGGCCCTTGGAACTGGTGCAAGGCGCATTCATGTCTCCTCAGCCTTCAGCGCCAAGGCCAAGGTGGCCATGAGCCGCTTTGAGCCCGGCTCCAGCGTTAATTATGAGAAGATGCATGAGAACATCAACACTGTGCGCAGGAGGTCAGCAGTTGAGACTTCTCAGAACTACACATGGACACATAGAGTTCCTTATTGATTACAGTTTGGCTCACGAGGAATGGCTGGTGTTCATTACAGCTGCACAGTTAATCTTGTGGCATTTACAGTGTTGACTTGTCAGGGTCAGCAGGGGCCACGGAGCTAACTTTGGATGTCCTGGAGTTCCCTCGTACTGCGCTTAGCACATGCTGTAATCCAGGAATAGGAAATGCCTTTTGTGTGGCTGTTATGTGACTATTACATGAACAGTTCGCCCCCAAATGTTTGCTGTCCTGATAAGCTATAGTATCTTTAGTTGTTCAGGGCTTTTCCATGATTCTTAGCCACAGATGAAATGTAGTGCTTTCCAGGAGTGATACACAAAACACAGGAGGACACTGCAAAAACATTTAAACTATATTTGTGTAGATATAAGAAGTGAAGACTTTTGTAGTATCTGATGCTACATTTTTGTGTTACTCCACCCCACCAGGCTCGGCAGGCCTCTCACGCTGTCGGAGAAGATTGTGTACGGTCACCTGGATGATCCAGCGGGGCAGGATATCGACCGCGGCCGCACCTACCTGCGCCTGCGTCCAGATCGCGTGGCGATGCAGGATGCTACAGCTCAGATGGCAATGCTGCAGTTCATCAGCAGTGGTCTGCCCAGGGTGGCGGTTCCCTCCACCATCCACTGTGATCATCTGATTGAGGCTCAGATCGGAGGGGCCGAGGACCTGCAGAGAGCTAAGGTGAGAACAGATGGATGGAGTGTGGTATTATACATATTGTAGTTTTAATATTTTGGCTGTACTGAATATTTAAATGCTTAAAAGCTTCATGCATAATGTTGACATTTGAAATTTGCGAAATCATTTCTGCACAGTTGCAGATAAAGATTAGCCTACACTGATATTATAAGTATTATACTGTTTGTAGAATTAGTTTCCGACTTGTGTGATCCAAACATTTCCAATTACTCCAAAGTGTTGTCAAGTCCAAAAGTCAAATTTAAGCCTTCTTTAGGGTGATGGACTCATAAAATATGACGACAGACATTCAAAGCTTCATTCGCAAACCTCGAAAGAAGCTCCAAATTTAAAACCGTGACATTTGGTACAGCCTTAATATGTTTTTATGGTACGACCATTGGTTGTAAATCGTTATTGACAGAAGAAATGATTTCTCTTTGACACTTTTCACCTAATGAGATGCGTGTTTTGGTGCCTCTCTGCTTTGCTACTGGCCTCATTCTGCCATACATTTTCAGTCTAATCTGATCAGACAGAGTTTTGACAAGTGGACATGGACTTGAATGCTTATTACTACAGAACAAAATATAAAAGGAGGTCATCGTCCCTCTGGTTTGAAAATGACTGACAAAACATTACAACACTGCGTAATGCTGACTTCAGGTTCAGGGGACCAGAGCTGGTTTAGGTTTTTACAACCTGTCACACACACACAGAGTTGATGCCAACAACAACAGACTATAACTCTAAGCCATTTTGCTTGTGAAGTGTGTATCCGATACCAACCTCATAAGGTCCCATTAATGTGTCGGCAGGAAGCAGTTATGGAGAGACTCAGCAGCTTTATAAGTTTCTCCTCTGACTTTTGGCTCATTGTGTTAGTTGAGCCAGTTTTTATCAACCAACACAATGAGTGCAACAAGAGCCAATTTCTATTTTGGGCAGTGTTTGTTTAGTGCAGCTGCATTTCAAGATAACTTTTCAGTAACTAACAGTAAGGTATATTGTGTTGAACTGGCTTGTTTAGATTTATTTAATAATTGATCCTTAGCTAGCGGGGATTGATGAGGTTGCAAAGGTAGCGGCCTTAAAGGAACAGTTCAACCTAAAATCAAAAATACATATGTTTCCTCTTACTCAAGATAATCCACAGACCTTGTTGGGAACAGTTTCATGCAGGAACTATTTTCTTTCTACCAATCTACACCCAGCAAACACATCACCGCTTAGAAGACAGTGTGCATCTACTCATGGACGAGAGGCTTGTGCTCATGACAGAGCGGGTATAAACATTAATGGCGTCCTTCTTGGCTGAGCTGTGACATTAGCTAGCTTGGTGGTGCTAGGTGAGTTTGCAGTAGATGCACACTTTGTCCTGCACAGTGACACAGTGGCACTTCCACGTTGGCTTCATTTTTCAGCCCCAGAGGTTGCCGCTTGGTGTCTGCCTCTGCCTCTGGGTCATAAGCTTGTTGAGGAGTGCTGTAGTTGTCCACTAGAAGCAACATCATGGCATTGTCCTGGTGGGCGGCATATGGTCCATTGAGCTAGCTAATGTTACAGCTCAGCTGAGGAGGACGCCATTAACGTTTACATCTCGCATTGTCACGAGTACAAGGTCTCTCTTTTATGAATAGATGCACGCTTCCTACTGCACAGTGATAGAGTTGATGGGTGGACTTTGGTAGAAAGAAAATAGTTCTTACATGAAACTGCTCACAACAAGGTCTGTGGATTATCTTGAGTAACTGGGTCATGATTTCTGGAAAGAGACATTGCTGTTGAGTTGTTTAAATGTATTTTTTGGCGTGTAAGCACCACAAGCCAAGTGCCATCAAGTTCTGTTATATTAGAGAGAAGGCAGACATCTCTACAGCCAATATCTCTAACATTCAGCAACTCTTAACAATCTGAATTGATAAATTACACTACAGGTAAGAGGAAGAATATGTATTTGTGATTTTGGGGTGAACTGTCCCTTTAAACAGTTTTCTTGGGGCACAGTAGATGCAACGGGTTGGTTCAAATTCTGTAGGTGTGATCAAATTGTTGGATTACAGGGTTCAGGGTTAAGTGCTGCAGCAAAGTTTATTATTTTATGGTTACATCAAGGATTCTCATGCATCATATGTGAAAATAACTGTTCGCCAATAACTCTTAACGCAGGAGATAAACGAGGAAGTGTACAACTTTCTTGCCACTGCTGCTGCTAAATATGGTGTTGGCTTCTGGAAACCTGGATCAGGGATCATCCATCAGGTACAGTACACTGATTTATAATGATGCTATAAATTATTTCAAACTACACTTTGTTTGAAGTTTGAGGCCCCAGGAAAAAATGTTTGACTGACTCTGAATGCCTCTTCCTTTGGACAGATCATCCTGGAGAATTATGCCTATCCTGGAGTGATGCTGATTGGTACAGACTCCCACACTCCTAATGGCGGTGGCCTGGGGGCCGTCTGCATTGGAGTGGGTGGCGCTGATGCCGTGGATGTCATGGCTGGAATCCCCTGGGAGCTCAAGTGTCCGAAAGTGAGTTCTGGCCATTTGATATCTTGTAAATGAATTTTAATTTCAAAGCAGTTTCAACCTGTTTTTAACCACTAGGTGTCTCTACAAATGTTTCTACCTTTGTCTTTTTTTTCATGTTTTTTTTTTTCCCCTCAGGTGATTGGAGTGAAGCTGACAGGAGCCCTGTCTGGTTGGACCTCTCCGAAGGATGTCATCCTGAAGGTGGCTGGCATCCTGACTGTAAAAGGTGGCACAGGAGCCATTGTGGAGTATCACGGGCCTGGAGTTGACTCCATCTCCTGCACTGGTAAGGATGAGATACATCTGAAAAACTGGAGTGTTTGTGATAGACACTCTTTATTTATATGTGAAAATTGAAGACAGGAAGAACAGTGGCGACTTCAGTTTATTTCACTGTACTTTGAATTTTCAGGAATGGCCACTATCTGTAACATGGGTGCTGAGATTGGAGCCACCACATCCATTTTCCCCTACAACCACCGCATGAGGACGTACATGGAGAAAACTGGCCGTGGAGGTCGGTTTCTTTAATGTTACTCTGTCTGTTTAGTCTTCATTCACTCAGTGTGTCGCACCTACAACTTTGTCTCCTCCCTCATTCCCTCTCAGAGATCGCGACTGTGGCCGATCAGTTCATAGATGACTTGGTCCCAGATAAAGGCTGTGAATACGACCAGCTCATTGAGATTAACCTGAGTGAGGTGAGTCAAAGCGTTGTCACAAGTCTTGTAATTTAAGGCCAGTGTTTCCCTGAGGTTGACTGCCTTTACCTGAGTGATGGGCTGGTGAAACACTTATTCTACCACCACACCCCAGGCACACTACTGTTTTTTACATTACGTAGTAGGGCTGCCCCCTAATAGTCGAAATGTTAGTCAACCAGAAGGGTCATTAGTCGGCAAGAATTCATTGGTTGCTTAGTTGCAGAAAAAACAAACCTGAAACTCTATTAGGAGCTGCGCCTTGTCAAAATAAATCAAACCCTATATGACTGGACCATGTGTGACTTCAATTTGAAAGGACAGACACAGGAAGTGTCCACGCTCAGCAGTCAGACAGAAGTCAGGTTAATCTCCAGGGCTGGTACCTGCGGTTATTCCACAGGCTAGTTAATAACATGTCGGGCAGGAAATCCAAAGTGTGGGATCATTTTGAGAAGGTGAAGGACGAACCCAAGGTGATATGTAAACTCATCTTCATTGGTCGACTACAAACATGACGTATCATCTGAAACATGGAAGTAGCTACATGCCCATTAGCCCACAGCATTATTAACAGGCGGCTCGCTCAGTGTGTGACGTGCACTTGTAGATAAAATATAGGTCTATATTAATGAAGGTTCATTAGTACGGTTTTGTATTTCTCTGTAATGTAGCACAGTCAGTGTTTCCCATTAATTAACGAAACTATGGCGGCCCGCCATAGTTTAATTTGACCCGCCATAGTTTCTAAATAAAAGATTTAGGCTGCCGAAAGTATTGACTTGTCATGATATAAATAATATCTTGAACGCCGTAGTGTTTTGTGCTGATGTGCTCAGGCTGTCAGATCCAGCGCTCGACAGTGCGAGCGTTTCACTCGACTAAAAATATGTGTGTGCGAACTGTAAAAAATATTTAGGGGCACATGTGCGCATAAAAAAAAATCAGCCGAAGCTGTCAGCACAATGAATATAAGTCCCACTGTCGGCATGGTGGAAATAAGTCAAAGGGTTCTAGTTTCCCGGTGCAGCGCAGGGTGGCGAACCCTGCGCAGAGCTAGTTTCGAGCAGCGCAACCCGAGGCGCGCTCAGTTTGGTAGTTTGGCAGACCGAGGTGCGCTGAGATGGGTGTGGCGGCGCAGCAGGGGGAGGTGTCGACAGATACAGCTTGGCGCAGTGACAGTTTCGTGCCAAAAGGCTTTGCTGAAGGTGCTCTTAAAGCTCGCCATCTGAAACCAGTTCTACTGTCAGCGCAGGGGGAGCGCAGCCGGTGTAAGCCGAAGTTTGGCTGACCGGCGGACAGTGCACACACGTCACCAAAACCTCACAGGCAGGTTTCCAGAATATCAGGCACATTAACGATGCAATAAATACCCACAAAACCACAATTCAATGCACCTATCTGCAATCAGCACATAAATGTATCTCTATATCGACTGTCCCGTCACATCTGATGTCAGATCAAAGGGGGTTGGCACCGTTTGGCACGTTTGGCACGCGTAATGGAAACCCAATCTGATTTGATTAAACAGCTGCAAACTAATGAGTTCACATCCCTCTCAGCCAGCCACAAACAGCCACAGCATCAGATAGGGGGTATATATTCAGCATCTGTCATCTTAGAAAAGTCAAAAGAAAAGAAACAGAGTGAGACTGCGAGAGAGAAAGAAAGAGAGCATGCACGCACGAGAGAAACGCAACATTGATTTACAATTGTGGTGACCTCCTCCCAGGCTACCTTTGCATCATCAGCCCGTGGAGGTCTGCTCGCAGTTCCGTATATTCGGACACTGCGAGCAGACCTCCCGGACCAAAACATCAGGTTCCTCCTGGGAGAAGTTTGGCCATCTGACGCTGCTGCTGGTGATTGGATGTCCCCCCCCCCCCCCCCATTGTGTTGCCCCGCTCAAAACATAATTTAATAATTCAATTAATATCGTAAAATTCTTAGTTAGGGGCAGCCCTGTAACAAGAAGCTTTTATTGTTTTGTTTTGTTTTTTTTTTCCTTTTTTACGGTAGAAGTTGCTGCTATTTTCCGTTACAGTCATTCTTCCAGCAGCAGTTACAGTGCAGAGACACTGAAATATGGAAAACCACAAAAAAAGCTGACCACTTTAGAGGAGACCGGGCTGTTTTTAGGAGGGGGGCTGAAAGAAACAGGTGCTAAAACTGAGTGTTTCAGACAGGGTGAATACAGGTGTTTTAGCACAGACAGTATGATGAAAATAAAGTGTTTTTGTTTTAATAAAAGCATGTAAACCTGAAATACAAGTATGAACCTTAAAATAAATATAAGATGTCCCCTTTAAGAGTCGCCTACCTACCAAATTATGCATGTGTTGGTATGTTAAGTAAAAGCTTTCCTGAGGTGAATTTAAGTGCTGTAAACTAAAACAGACTCCAGCACCCACTTCTCATTTAGTCACATACTTTGGCTTCATCCCGTTCTGTGTCATGTGGATGGTGAGGCAGCTTAAGTGCTTATTATTAGTGTTCCTCTTTAAAAAGTTTCCAAATTTAGAAAACAATATTTATAGCATACGCACACATGTCCCACATTACCCGAACTATGAATTCATTATGCCTTATTTTTCTACTAACAGTTGAAGCCCCATATCAACGGGCCCTTCACCCCTGACCTGGCCCACCCCGTGTCTGATATCGGGGCTACGGCTAAGAAGAACGGCTGGCCCCTGGAGGTTAAAGTTGGTCAGTATTTGTCACACAGCTGTATTATCTTACAAATGTAAGTATTTTTAATGCTTTGTCTAATGAAATTGGATATTTCTTTCTTTGTTCCTAGTAGCTGTGTTATTGACCTGACAGGATGGCATCACATTACAGCTCTGCATGTGGCCTTCCAAAGTAGCTTACAAAATGCGTGCTGAGTACAGTATAATTCCAGTCATTGACTGAATGAGTAGAATATAATTAAGATGACAAAGATGTAAAATTACAGGCTTGCTTGTCTTTTCTGTCTTCTCTTCTTTAACAGCCTTCCTCTTATTTCATAGGCACAGATGAATACTTAAACTCTTCCACTGTAACTGTAGACTCATTCACTTTAGTTTCCTTGTTCTCTTCTTACAAACATTGAACTTGTGTCTTGCAGGTCTGATCGGTAGCTGTACCAACTCCAGCTACGAGGACATGGGCAGAGCGGCCTCTCTGGCCAAGCAGGCTCTTGATAAAGGTCTGAAGTGCAAGGCCCAGTTCACAGTCACCCCAGGTTCTGAGCAGATCCGTGCCACTATCGAGAGGGACGGATATGTGAGTCTCTTTACAACATCACTGACCTTTCATTAAACTCTTTTAAAGCCTTAACTACATGTTTAAATCTGAATAGACGTGGATGTGAACTACAACTTGACTGGCTGGTGTAGGAATACAACCGTGTGGCAGTAATTGTAGTTTTACAGAAAACATTTATACAAAGATGTGTGTTGAAAAGATGCAAGAAAGGATTTCTTCAAACTCATGTTGTACCTGTTTCAGGCCAAGATCCTGAGTGATGTTGGTGGAATCGTACTTGCCAACGCTTGTGGACCTTGCATCGGACAGTGGGACAGGTATGCATGCTATTTCTAACGATAACTTCAGCCGCTAAGGGACACAAGCAGGGCTTTAGACCTGATTTGAAACAGGTGGCTCACAGTAGTAAAGGTGGAAGATCAAATAGAAAATTCCCCTGAGTGATGCAGGTTAAACACAACGCATCAGACTAACATGCTCTATGTTCTGACTTTTTTCAGGAAGGATGTGAAAAAAGGAGAGAAGAATACTATTGTCACATCCTACAACAGGAACTTCACTGGCAGGAATGATGCCAACCCCGCTACTCATGCTTTTGTCACCTCTCCTGAGGTAAGAAGTCTGCAGGTTGAACATCAAGTGAAATACAAGCTCAGCAATTGACCTTTCGCTAAGCCCCGCCCCTTTGTGATGGTCCAACAAGCTGTCAGAGTAAGCATGGAGCCCACACTGTAACTACCTGCACTCCCTGAAGAAATATAATCATATTTTTGGAAAAATGAAAGAGTGATTCCAGAGAGAAGCAGACAGAGGGGTCTACAGTCTGTGTTTGAAGGATATATCCAGGATGTCAAACTGACTCAGCAGCAACAACAGGTTAAAAAGACAAAGATAGTTAGAAGCTAAAGCTGAACTATAGGCTACAGATCACAGTGTAAAAGTGAACCACCACATCACTGCTGATCGCCACACAAGACAATGAATATAAAGGGAAACTTTGCTGATATTGAACCAGCTGTGTGGCATCGCAGTGTGTGCAGAGGAACTGTGTTTGGCTTCACCCCCGTGTTGCTACCAGGCGGGGATCTCTGGGGGAAGTCAAACAACATTCATCTGCACACACTGCGATGACACACAGCTGGTTGAACACCAGCGAAGTTTCCCTGCTTCCCTTCACTGGTTCCTGTACAGCAGGGTTGGTCTTTGTTTCACTGTTATAATCATTAAAAAGCAAAAGCAGCATGTGTATACATTCAGTAGGCTATATCTTCAGTAGCTAGCTAGCTAACCCTACACTTTTCAGGGTTTGATTTTGGTTTTGGAACAGGGAAGAAACGTATATCTTTTTCCAACCTCTCCAGGTAACGAGTATCATTAATACACGGCGTGCCCCAGGCACAACATTTAGCTCCAAATCCACAAAACCAGCCTTAAAATGAAGGAAATGTGAAACGACTGCATTAGAGTCAATAGAGCACAGCTGTGTTGTTGTCGGACCCTGGTCTGAGCTGGCCCGATTCTGCATTATGATTGGCCAGTCTGCGTCCAGGGGCAGGACTTAGCAAAGGATCAATTCATGACCACATGGGCATCAATAGGCAGCCTCATAGTAGCTCATACATACAGCATAGTGAGTGTGTATCAGTAGAGGACTTCACAATAAAAATCTTAGTTCTGTATTCCTTAATGGTTTTGACATTTGCACACCCTAAATGCCTATTATGTAATTCATTGTAGATCGTCACCGCCATGGCTATTGCTGGAACTCTCAACTTCAACCCAGAGACCGACTACCTGACCGCTCCTAACGGAGAGAAGTTCAAGCTGAATCCGCCTACTGGTGACGAGCTCCCCTCCAGAGACTTCGACCCAGGCCAGGACACCTACCAGCACCCCCCGACTGAGGGCGGCTCAGTGAAGGTGATTTTGTTTTTTTATTTAATAAGATACAGTATCTTATGACGACAATCTAGAAAGCAGCACAGCATTAATAAAACAGACTTCAAGTGAGGTGAGCGTCTTCTGTCAGAGTTTGCAAAGGTACATGAAAGAGTCAGTGTAAACTAACAGTGTGATCAAGGCTTTTTCACACAGAGATGTGTTATGTGACAGTTGTTAAAACAGAAAATGATTTTTTGATGTTCAAATAAAATTCAGTTTGATATTGGAGTTGTCTGCCCCACTATCCTTTGAAAATATTATCAGAAGAGCCTTTATGTCTTACACTGAATTGATGTTGTTCAGGTGGACGTGAACCCCACCAGCAACCGCTTGCAGCTGCTGGAGCCCTTCGACAAGTGGCATGGAAAAGACCTGGAGGACATGAGGGTCCTTATCAAGGTGAGCAGGAAGTGGAAGGGAAGCTGTGGTGGATGTGTAAGTAAGGAGTAGCGCAGGTTACAAGACTTTTGCCACAGTTAACCCGTCTCGGAAAAATTTCTTTGATCTGAGAGTAAAACCCTCAAGTCGGCACAGAATCGCCTGGCCTCAGATAAGTGTATGAAAATGGATGGATGGATGGATGGATGGTGTAGCGTTGAATAGCCATTGTCAGATTTCTGTTCCATCTTTCCTCATCCTCCGAATTGCCCACTCCTCCTCTTCCTCTCTTTTCCTCTGTGGCCGTAGGTGAAGGGAAAGTGCACCACTGACCATATCAGCGCTGCCGGGCCCTGGCTGAAGTTCCGTGGTCACCTGGACAACATCTCCAACAATCTGCTGATTGGTGCAGTCAACAGTGAAAACGATGCTGTGAACAAGGTCAAAAACCTGCTGACAGGAGAGTACGGAGGTGTGCCCGATGTGGCCCGCCACTACAAGGTGAGTTTGATGGGATGATGTCAGTTGATGATTTGTTTTACATTTAGACTTTACATTGATTTAAATGGCACACAAACACCAGGCAAAATTTTCTTTGTGTTGCATGTTTTTCCAGCAACTAAGTTCCCAATTTCCTCCTTAGCACGTTGTCACCACCCTGACAGCAGTTTAAATGTTTCCTTCGTCTTGTTTAACTGTATAATCCAGGCCAATGGAGTGAACTGGGTGGTGGTCGGAGATGAGAACTATGGAGAAGGTTCCAGCAGAGAGCACGCTGCCCTGGAGCCACGACACCTTGGAGGACGCGCTATCATCGTCAAGAGCTTTGCCAGAATCCACGGTAAGTTTCAGAGCACAGAGAGTGAATAAAATAACACGCAACCACCAATCTGTCTTTCATTTTAGAGATATTCAGGCATCACTGCAGTTTTATCATCTTTACACTCAAACCTTAATTTATTTTCTTTGTGAAAGGTAGAGGCAGCAGGGAAGCAGCATCTTTAGGTGTGGTTGGCTTTCAGAGCAAGCTGATGATTATTGAGTCTGGCATGTTTACAGTCTGCCAGAATAAGTAGTGTGGAAGAGAGCCTCCAAGTTATAATTACAGTCCATTAGTGGCAGTTTGTTATCGAAGGCTTGATGTAGGTAAGTGGGCAGATGAAAGGCTGTCTGATCTCAGGAATATTGCTTTCATTTTTTGGTGTGAAAAGATTTCTTCAGAACCAGAAACACACAAAATAAACCATTACGTGCAGTTGATGCAGTTTTCTGTATGCAAAGCTTTCAGTGCCATGTGGTGTTGATGAAGAAGATTTCTAGCATCATGAGTTCTGTGTAAATGGAGCAGCTTATTCATCATGAGATCTGGAACCAGTCCATAACAACCAGACACACATACTCACATGCATTATGCTCCCTGACCTTGTAACAGATGCACCTAGACAAAGAGCCCCTCTCTTACGGAAGCACAGTATCAGTGTCGGTGTCTTGTTATTTGTCATATTTACATCTTTTCTCCTCTTCACAGAGACTAACCTGAAGAAGCAGGGCCTGCTGCCTCTGACTTTTGCTAACCCCCAGGACTACGAAAAAATTCGCCCTGACGACAAGATTACAATCACTGGGCTAAAATCCTTTGCTCCTGGCAAGGTGAGCAATATTCTGCACTAAAGCTGGCCATACACTGTACGATCTGAGCCCGTTTCTGACCTGATTTTTCTCTGAGCCACACAACTCAATTTAGAGTCGGACCCAATTTTTTTGTGTCTTCAAAATATTTAGTTTTAGTTTAGTTTTTCGTGGTTTTAGTTTTCAAAATACAGGAGGGATTCATCAGGTGCAACACTTTAGAAGTTCAGCATTGGTATTAAAAGACAAACACAACAGCCGCATGACTCATTTTAGAGTTGGACCGAATTTCAGCTTTGTTGGGCATCATTTCTCGTGCAGCGTACACAGGGAGCAGGTAGCTATCAGAGCTCGACCATCTGTTCCCGAATGGCCACCAGACGTTCAGTTGAATTTCTGACATGTCATAAATTTTGGTTGGCAGTTGGTAAACCAGGGGTATCATAGTTTTATATTTTTCATTTTTATTTTATTGTTAAATTTTGTTTTTAATTCAGTTTAGTCTCAGTTAGTTTCCAGAGTGTTTTAGTTTAGTTTGAATTCAATTCAGTTCAATTCAGTTCAATTCAATTCAGTTCAATTCAAATATTTAAATTTAAGAGCAGCACACTGAGTAGTTCAGAGAAAAAACACACAAGACATAAATAACTACAGTATAAAAACAAGTGGAAAAACACATTCTTAAAGTGCTGTGCATTAGAGTCCAGTCCAGCCCTCCTATACAGTCTCAAGCTTCCTGAGAAAGGAAGGTTTGGAGGTGGGTGGATGGGGGGTTGGGTGTATTGAAATCACTAAGGCAGCGGGTCAGTGATGGCTGTGAGTTGAGCAGGAGGACAGCTCTGGGAACAAAAGTAGCCCTCTTCGTCTGAGTCCTGCAGCTTGGGCAGCGAAGATGACGTCCAGGGGGAAGCCACTCAAACACTGCAAACAGGGGGTGTGATGGGTCCTGTATCGTTCTAGTTAGTTTTCTTTTTTCTCAAGTCTAATTTAAATTCTCGTTAAATAAATAAAATGTTCTCTCCCATCTAGTTTTTGTGCCTCTGCCACCAAAAGCTGTGACTGGATTTTGTCTGTCCGTCCCATTTTTGTGAGCTATATATCTCAAGAACGCCTTGTGGGAATTTTGTCAAATTTGGCACGAACATTCGGTTGGACTCAACGGTGAACCGATTAGTTTTGGTTTTGGAATTTGTAGCTTCTTTGCAGCAACATCTTTATTTGAAGCATTGTCTGCTGCCATTGCTACATGTGAGTCTGGACAGACATGAATGTTAACTGGTTCGTGGAGGCCTACAACCACAAGGCTGTAATCCTAGTTTAGTTTTAGTTAAGTATAGTAGATTTTTGTCAGGCTCTCGCACAGCTGTGGCAGAGTGACAAGTCGATTCCCCAAGATCATGTGTTTTTTTTCTCACTCTTTCTCACGTTGATGTTTCCTCCTCCTCCTCCTCCTCCTCCTCCTTTCATGACGTATATGAACCAAGAACATTGGCAATAATGCAACTTGAACCATACTGGTGTAGCATTACAGACTTCAGCTAGCAAACAAACTTCTACCTGCCTCAGAGCTTTCGACCAAGCTTTCTTTACAGTCACACTCAGGTTGTGAGTTGATGATCGGACCGCACAAAATGAGCACATAAATCGTGAGCTCTGGCTTTACATTACAGATGATTTACTCGTACAGCGTGAGTTAGAATTCAGTTAAACATTTCTAAAACTGACTTAAATTATACAGTGTATGCCCGGCTTAAAGAAACATTGACCCCAAAGGACAGCTGAGCTTCTCTTTACATTATGTCAAAGAAAAATTGGATAAATGATTGATGCATCTCGTTGCTCCTTTCAGCCCCTGGCAGCAGTGATCAAGCACAGTGATGGCAGCAAGGAGTCCATCACTCTAAACCACTCCTTCAACGAGACGCAGATCGAGTGGTTCAGGGCCGGCTCTGCTCTCAACAGGATGAAGGAGCTCCAGTAATAGGTGGAGACGCGGGAGGTGGGGCCTGTAGGGGCCACCGAGGGGCCTTGGCATGGGTTAAGAAGGGGAGAAGTGAGGGCAGAGAAAGGGGCTTTGCAAAGAGGAAGAGACGAGGTGAACGGTAGACAGTTACCAGACCTGTTGGTTTAAATGTTGGTGTAGGGACAGCTGTAGTCATGATCAGTTAAAGAAAACACACACACACACACACACACACACAAGGTCGCTGCACAGATGAAAAGCGCACACACACATTGACATGGGCACGCACATGCACAGACAGGATTACTGTGAAAGCACTCCCGGACGACAGCCAGAATTACACAAACACGCTCAAATCAAGCGCACATAACCGAAGCTTAGCAGTGTGTGTGTCTGTAAAAGGCAGCATCGTTCGTCCTGGCAGCACTCCTCAGTTTAAAATCAGATTTGTCAAGCTTAGTTGTTCATTGAGTGTTACCCTGCAGCGCTCAGCTGACTGTTTCACACACAGACAGTTGAATGAGGCTGTGTTTTCCTAAATCTGTGAACGAATCTAGCAGTATACAAACCTGAGTCAGACCCTGCATTGATAAAGTTAGATTCAAAATACGATTAAAATAGAAGTGGTGAAGCTGAGATAACAGTTTCCTAATATTTAATGACGAGTTAACAGCTTCCTGCTATAAAATCTTTAACTGCAAAGTCCGTCCAAAGACCAGACAATTGTTGTTCTTCATTATGCTTCCTGTTTTATATTTGTCGCAGTGGTTTCCATCCATACAGCTCAATAAGCTCACTTAGTTGTCCAACTCACATGAATGTACCTTTCCTTCATTATCTCCAGACCTGAAGAACATTTCCACCACATGTTCAATGTGATGCTGCATTCAAATGGAACTTTTGAGCTTGTGTTTATGACATGGGAAGCAAAGTGAATGTGAGCTCATGAACTCAGAGCTCTCAGAAAATTCAGCTTATGAAGCTGTGAACACCACAACAAGGAGGCGTTTATTTGGACTCTTCTCGTGAATGTGGTAAACACAACCCCATTGGAACGCAGCATACTTGAAATGCACTAAATAGCAACAAACTCCACAAGTCGTCCTTCATTTTCCTCCTGTAGCGGGCTGCTAGGTTTGCCTTCGACTTGAACAAGTGTCACCTCACTAGTCGTAGTTTTGAGCCACTGTGAAAACAAACCACCAGGCACACTGACTTATTTACTGTAAGCAGGATCAGTTGAAATCCTGTCAGCCCCTCCACTGTCACGGTACAACTGCAGCCCAATCTATCGTCACGCCGTCTGAGGTCTTGTGTTTTTATGCTGCTGCTGTTGGACTTTTCGTTTTGACCTTGAATCTGTGTACACTCCCTGCTTCTCTTTCACTGCACGATCGCTCACAGGGCTGCAATGAATTATTGTTTTCATTATCGGTTATTCTGTCCATTATTTTCTCTATTAATCGATGAATTGTTCTGTCAGTAAAATATCAAGAAATAGTGAAATTTGCCCTGTGAATTTTCCCTTAACCCAAGTTGATGTCTTTAAATGGTTTCATCTGACCAACTGTCCCAAAAATCTAAAGTGATACAGTTTATTATCACATATAACAAAGAAAGGCTTCAAATTCTCAGATTTAGGAGGCATGAAATCAACAACTGTTTGGCCTCATTTGCTTTAAAATTACTAAAACGATTATTTGATTGTCAATTAATTATCTGTCGATCAACTAATCGATTAATTGACAAATCATTTTAGCTCTACTTGCTTGTTCTCTGTCTTTCTGCATGATATAACACTGCATTGTGTTACAACACAACACATACCGCCATTGTGTCAGCGCCAGCCTTGCTATTTCTTTTCTTTCCATCTGTGTTTTGTCCTGTGTGGGTGCGTGTGTGTATGTGTGTGTTATACATGATTGTTTTACTGGGTTAACATCAGTGTGTGTTCGCATCTGTGCGTCTCTCTTTGCTCACCCTGTCTCTCTTGCTGCTCTCGCCAGGCTGCTTCATGCAGTCCAAACCACAACCTGATACGTTTGGGGAAATGGGCTGAAGTCAGATTTGTGTTGCTGCACCGGGCAAGTTTTTTATGTAGGAAGGAAACTGCGGCATAACAGTGTCATAAAAAATCAGCCTACAATGTCCGGAGAAAGCTCCACTTTTCTATAGTAGGTCATTTGTCTCATCAACCCAATGAAATCCTTTAGGTCAAAGCTTCTCACACGTGATATTTTCTCTCATTCTTTCTGCTGGTCCTCACTATCATCTGGAGCTGCCAGCATGTGAAATTGCCTCGTGTAGCTGTAACGGGATCTGACAGGCTGTTTGTCTTGGAGTTGAATGTTTTTTCAGGTTGAGGTTTGGTCCTCCATAGCACGAGAAAGCCTGCTGTCTTCTTACACAAACTAACGCACAATCTAGTGTCCAGATGCCTGTACACTAGCACTTTGTAGAGTTAGGGAAGTAGTTTTAGGTGTGCTTCGCCATGCTTCGTTTATTCTTTGCAAACATTTCACTCTGTAGCACACGTCTCTGTCGTGTGTGACTCCACAAGACTGACATACAACGCGTAACGTTCACTATTGATACACGAGTTTTCAGTAGAAAATGTAGATTCAAAATCATTCTTGGATTAAGTTTGACATAATGTATACCTAGTGTACGCCACTGAAACGCTGTGGTTATATATTTTTGCTAGCTTAGGGATGTTTGAGGTCATTGCTGCTATGTTTTATGTAGGTGTCCTCTGTTTAGCTTGTCATTAACCAGAAAGTTTATAAATCGGTCACTTCTTCATTCTGCAGTCCAGGAAGTGTGGATTAATAATTACACTTCCTGAGGTGAATCCCTATATACTTAAAAAAAAGTCACTGAGTTTGGACCTGTGTGTAAATGACGTGATATATAGTTGCACTTTGTATAGGGGTGTGTACATAAATGATAAATCATTATATAGATATATATAGATATATATATATATATATGAGAGAGAGAGAGAGTGCTGGTAACATGCTGTATGCTGCCTGTCTAAATGAGAGCGGTTAACTCTGTTTGTGACTTCCTGTAACATAATGTCATAACATAGAGTCCCCTGTGTGATCTTGATTAAACTCAAGTTCTTTTAATCGAATGGTTTCACAAACCAGTTTTGGATTGTGGGTTAAATTAAAGCACAGGTGTCGGATCGTAGCTGTCGGCTGCCGACAGTGAAAAGGGATGTGTTATTTCAAGAAAGGTGACTTATTATGTGTATTTTCTTAACTTTTAGTTTTGTACAGATAGTTTTCAGGGACAGAGATGATTTAGAAAAGCAGCAGCCCAACTTTTAGAGTCGTTTTGGATGTTAATGACTCCACGTAGGGGTTATCTGTTCATATAATCAACTGCTCTTTACGAATCATGTTTTACATCCTCATTAAGATCATCACTTTGATGGTTAAACACTGCTCACCAGTGTATCAGATTTACTGCCAAAGATGCCTGATAAAAATACTGAGATGTTGGGAAGTAATAATTACCCATAAAGGAGCTTTTTATGATATTCAGAGCATTAATATAGCAGAAAAAACGATTTGCTATGTAAAGATATAGCAGAGTAATGGCGTCCTGACCAGAGAATGTAGTCACGTCGAGCTTCTCTGTCCTTTGTTGTGGTAGATGGGCTAGCAGCATGTTGGTGCATGTGAGTCCCTGTGAGTGTGTCCCTCTAGCTAATTGCTGGCACTCTGCACTGCACTCTTATGGCAGTTACAGCTGATATCAGGATGGCATTGTCGCTGAAACATAGTGCCCACCCCCCTGTTCCCTCCCAGGCTAACACCGTTAGCTCTGCACTGTTGCTGTTCTTAGAACTGTTTGTTGGCTGCTAGCCTCCAGCTCAGCCGCCTCCATGTTGAGAGCCGTGTGCAGACAACCTCTGAATCATAGATCCACTCTGAATATCATGAAGAGCTCCTTCAAGCTACAGTCAGGTCCATAATTATTTGGACAATGATACAGTTGTCATCATTTTGGCTCTGTACACCACCACAATGGGTTTTAAATGAAACAATGAATACCTGCTTAAAGTGCAGACTCTCAGCTTTCCTTTAAGGCTTTTTTCAAAAATGTAGTATGAACCGTGTAGGAATTACAACCATTTCTTCACACAGTCCCCCGACTTTAAGGGCTCATAAGTATTTGGACAAACTAACATAATCATCAATTAAACAGTCAGTTTTAATACTTGGTTGCAAATCCTTTACAGTCAATGACTGCCTGAAGTGTTGGACACATAGACATCATCAGATGCTGGGTTTCTTCCCTGGTGATGCTCTGCCAGCCCTTTACTGCAGCCGTCTGCACTTCCTGCTTGTGTTTTGGGTGTTTTGCCCTCAGTTTTGGCTTCAGCAAGAGAAACGCATGCTCAGTTGGATTCAGGTCAGATGATATGACTTGGCCATTGCAGAACATTCCACTTCTTTGCCTTAAAAATGTCTTTGGTTGCTTTTGCAGTATGCTTCAGGTCATTGTCCAACTGCACTGTGAAGCATCGTCCAATGAGTTTTGAAACATTTAATTGAATCTGAGCAGATAATGGTGCCCCAAACACTTCAGCTTTCATCCTGCTGCTCTTGTAAGCAAGACAAGACTTCACTAGAATAAATACAGAGGGTTTATCACAAGATGCAAACCATTGGTGAGCTTTAAAAATGGAAGGCCAGATTAGAGTTTGTCAAAAACCATCTAAAAAGCCTGTACAGTTGTGGAACAGCATACTATGGTCAGATAAAACAAAGATCAACTACCAGAATGATGGGAAGACAAGAGAAGGAAGAAGGGAAGGAACTGCTCATGATCCAAAGCACACCACCTCATCAGTGAAGCATGGTGGAGGTACTGTTATGTCATGGCCATGTATGGCTGCCAGTGGAACTGGTTCTCTTGTATTTATTGATGATGTGACTGCTGACAAGAGCAGCAGGATGAAAGCTGAAGTGTTTGGGGCTTCATTATCTGCTCAGATTCAACCAAATGCTTCAAAACTCATTGGATGATGTTTCACAGTGCAGTTGGACAATGACCTGAAGCATACTGCAAAAGCAACCAAAGACATTTTTAAGGCAAAGAAGTGGAATGTTCTGCAACGGCCAAGTCATATCATCTGAACTGAATCCAATTGAGCATGCGTTTCTCTTGCTGAAGCCAAAACTGAGGGCAAAACACAAGCAGGAAGTGCAGACGGCTGCAGTAAAGGGCTGGCAGAGCATCACCAGGGAAGAAACCCAGCATCTGATGATGCCTATGTGTCCAACACTTGAGGCAGTCATTGACTGTAAAGGATTTGCAACCAAGTATTAAAACAGTTAAATTGATGATTATGTTAGTTTGTCCAAATACTTATGAGCCCTTAAAGTCGGGGGACTGTGTGAAGAAATGGTTGTAATTCCTACACGGTTCATACTACATTTTTGAAAAAAGCCTTAAATGAAAGCTGAGAGTCTGCACTTTAAGCAGGTATTCATTGTTTCATTTAAAACCCATTGTGGTGGTGTACAGAGCCAAAATGATGACAACTGTATCATTGTCCAAATAATTATGGACCTGACTGTATGTTTGAAAAATCAACCCTGTCAGTATGTGATCTTTCAAATATATGACTATGCATAATTATTTGATTATACACAGGGTTTTATTTCCCACATAATTCACCAGGATCAGTTTATTCTTTAAAAAAATACTGATGAATTTAATCTTTATTTCTCCGTCAGCACATTTAAAACAGCTGCTTGTGAAGCACTTATCGTATACTGTGATGTAAGATAATGCTCTGTCGTTCACTGGTTGAAGCCTCTGAGTTTTAAAAGCGCTACTGTAAAGTGACAAATCAGATGTTTATGAAGGCATGCCTGTTGTGTGATTTTTGTACTCAGATGTGCTCTGTTCGGTCCTCCTGGATGTGTTTGATATCTATTTTACAACCTGCTTTATTTTGTTCAGGTACAGCAGATAAATAATATGAACAGATGTTTTATCACAGTGATGATTCCCCTCACACTCCAGTAACAGCATTAAACTTGACTTTATATAAGCAGATGATTCAAAACGCCCACAGTTTTATTGCTCGGGAGATTAAAGTTATCTTGATATTTACAAAATAACTGGTAAATTAATAAAGATAAAATTGTGAAGTGACTGTTGTGTTTTTCTTTGTGTAATGGAATCAGTGATGAGATCATGTGTTGTCTGTACGGAGTCTTACAGTAGATGCTGCCCTCAAGTGCTCGGTGTGAACTCCAACAGGCTGCGATTCAGTCTGTGGCGAACACCCTCAACATATGTTCACTGACATTTGATTAACATTCATAACTATTTTTCTGTTCTGTTTATACAGTAATGTTTATCTGTTCACTTTAAAACAACAGCCACAACTTTGAAGTATCTACATATATACTTGCATACCTGTATCTACTTAAATGGATTTGAACTCTGTGTACTATATAATTATTTTTCCACACTCAGCTAAATTTAAACTATGCTCGTGATTTTATTATTCAGATCAGAAATCACCTTTTCATTTATTTTTAATGCTGTGTTTGCAGGTAGTATAATACCAAAGTGCAGACTGATGCAAAGTGTCTCATCATGTCATGGAATGGAAGTAAATGTTTCTAAAATAATTCAGTTGCTTATTATAAAGAGTGAATTTCACAAACATGAAGCCAAGCAAACTGGCTCAGACTCCTAATTTTATTATTTTATTGTTGCACTGATATAGCGTGGCACCTTAATTAAAGATGCAGATAACTAAAACAGCTAAAAATTCAAATTAACTTCACTGAACAAATAAATGGATTGAAAACATTTACACAAATACAGAAAAAAGATGATTCAATAGAGGTAAATAGTCTATGACAAAATTAAACAGTTGTAAGTATTAATAGTACTGCAGACAAGGGTTTTGTTAACAATTCATAAAGAAAATTTAATGTAAGAAAACAGAAAATGACAGTTTGGTACATATATATTGGTATCTATGTATATATTTGGCCAATAGTATCATTGAACATCATTTTTACATTTTATCTATTGATTTATATTCAGATCTTTAAAAAGTATGGGAACCAAATAACCTGTCAAGGTAAATACAAAGAAAAATCATTGTATGTTAACAATAACAGAGCTAATAATTTTAGATATCTATATGTAGCTATCTGTAATTATGTATAATAGTACTATTACTGCACTAATAATAATATTTTTATTTTTTATTATTTTTATTTTTATTATTTTTTCTCCGTGTTAAAATATGCTGCTTGGAATTAGTTTTTTTTTTTTTTTTATTTATTATATTTATTTATTGTGAATTGGAGATGTTTAGTAAAGGTTTTTTGTTTTTGTTTTTTAAATGGAAACTTTAAAAATGTGCACTGTCGCTTTAAGTTTTGCGACATGTCGTAAAAACTCACTGTCGTAAATCATCACATGGAGACATCATGGACTGCTTTGACTTGGTTCGCTGCAGATTATCATAGTTTTAGTAGTGACATTAGGCAGACTGTGAGCAGTTATTGATCTGTATTTTAATCCTCGCTGTGTGAAAACAGGAAACCGTTTGTGAGAGTGAGTTTGGCGGCACCTGACAGCTCACTGCGGCTATTTCACCACAGCAGCTCTGTGTGTGTCTGTGTGTTTATGTTCCTGTGTTAGTGAGTACTTGCTCACATTGTCCAGCCTGCATCATGTTCGTGTTGGTAGAGATGGTCGACACTGTCAGGATCCCTCCGTGGGACTTCCATAGACAACTCAACGACGCCATAGCTGAGGAGCTCAACAAGAAGCTGGCCAACAAGGTATAATATGCTCACACTCACCGGCCACTTTATTAGGTACACCTGTTTCAACTGCGTGTTTACGCAAATAGCTAAGCAGCCAATCACGTGGCAGCAACTCAATGCATTCAGGCATGTAGACATGGTGAAGACGAGCTGCTGAAGTTCAAACTGAGCTTTAGAATGAGGAAGAAAGGTGATTTAAGTGACTTTGATGGTGGCATGGTTGTTGGTGCTTTGAGTTGGGTTTACAGAGGATGGTCCCAAAAAAGAGAAAATATCCAGTGAGCCAAAATGCCTTGTTGATGCCAGAGGTCAGAGGAGAATGGTCAGACTGGTTCAGGATGAT